CTTGCCTTAATTGATTGGAGTGTGACTAACCTGATTGAAAATTTAATAGCTCATCGTCATTATTTGTTTTTGTCTCGTTCAAATCATCTAATACCTGGTATTGTCGAGAGTGAGATAAGCTTCAAATTCTATTTACTTAGTTTAATAATAAAAATTGAAATTTTATTTAAAAACTCACAGTCGCATTAAGTGCCAAACATGCATATATATAAATATATAATTTCAATATGATATAAGAATACAATATAGTCATACAATACATATACAGTAATACAATACAGCCATACAATACATATACATTAATACAATACAGATACATTTACATATACATTACAATAATACAATACAGCGATGCAATACATACACATTCATACAATACAGTTACACTACATATACAGTAATACGATATAGCCATACAATACATATACATTAATACATTAATACAATACATATACATATACATATACATATACATATACATATATACATATAAATATACATATACATATACATATACATATACAATACAGCCATACAATACATATACATTCATACAATACAGATACAATACATATACAGTCATACAATACATATACATTAATATAATACATATACATATACAATAATACAATACAGCCATACAATACATATACATCCATACAACATTCATACAATACATATACAGTCAAACAAAACAGCCATACAATAGAATAAATAGAGAATATCATATGGCTTTTTCAATATCACATCCGTATCAACCCGAGACACCAATATAATCCCAAGAGCTCTGCTCGAGGGATTATATTGGTTGAGGGTTGATACGGTGAGTGATATTGAAAAAGCCATATCATATACACTTTATTATATACATATACCTCACGTAGATGTGTTTTATGTGACATGACGTCATATAGATAAGGGGGGTTGAAATGACGTCATACAGATTAGAGGTTTGAAATGACGTCATACAGATTATGGGTTTGCAACAGTGACTGCAATCGATGACGTGACGTCATACAGATTAAAGGTGTGATAAAGCCTTTGCAACCGTGCTGATATCGATATCATCACGGGTGGCTGATACAGCAAGCTTGCCAATGACTGTATTACACATACAATTTATCTGTATTTACTACTAAGTATATAATAATACAAAATAATTACCTGTATATGATGACATGAATAATAATTTTACAGTTGGAATAAAATGAATTGACGATATACACGCATGTACAATGTAAAGGGTTATATGAATTCTGCATACAATTAATGTATGGTGATAGTTTAGACATTATGGGAACGTTGCACAATGTACTGATAGGTTACTGGTGTAGCAAGTTGGAATAAATGTGTTATGATGTCGAGCTGTATCAGTTTGGTTACAAAGTAATAGACAATCCATTTCATCTCCAATCTTATTTGGGCAGTGTCGGCAAAAATAGACATGCCTAGGAATATGAGCCGGCCATCTACCGGTTTCCAACGGAAAATTAATGTTGGATGCAAGCAATTTGCATATGGTATAGAATAGAGAATGGAAACGGGGAATGTGTCAAAGAGACAACAACCAGACCAAAACGCTGAAACAGCCCAAGGCCACCAATGGGTCTTCAACATAGCCAGAAACTCCCAGGAGAGGTCGGCTTCAGCTGGCCCCTGAACAATAACGTATACTAGTTAATCGAAATAGACGCCACACTAAACTCCGAAACATACAAATAAACCAAAATTTAAAAAAAAAAAACACACAATACTAACAAAGGCTAGAGGTTTCCGACTTGGGACAGCCGCAACAATGTGGCGAGGTTTAACATGTTTTGTGAGATCTCAACACTCCCCAATACCTCTAGCCAATGTGGAATAAACAAACACATATCAAAACGCACAGTAAAACTCAGTTCAAAAGAAGACCGAGTCCGGTTTTAGAATAGGTGACAGAAGAGACTAAGCAAAATAAATGATCAACATAAATTAACAAAGTACTTCTAGCAGTTACTGACATGCCAGCTCCAGACCTCAATTAAACTGATAAGAGTTTATTTCCAGTACAGTTTCATTGAATGAAAACTTTATTACTATTTGATCTGCTAACTCTGTGTGAGTCCCCTGTCTAAAAAAAAAAGGAGCTTGCTTCCTTATCATAGTAGCCATTTACTATTTTAAAATTATCGATCATATTCCCTCTTATTTTCCTATGTGATAGTGTAGGTAAGCCTAGTTTTTCAATCTCTCTTGATAAGTATAAATCTTTGAGGCTTGGTAGCTATTTGGTTACCCTTCTTTAAAATCCTTCTAGCTTGTCAATATCTTTTTTCCTTGTATGGTGACCAACACTGAACTTGCGTAATCCAGCTGAGTTCTTACAATAGTTTTATATAATGGTAAGAATATCTCTGTACCAAAATATTTTAAAGTTCTCGTGAGAACTGCTGAGATTGAGTTGGCCTTATTGACTTTTTCACTTCCTAGTATATGGTTTACGAATGTGATTTATGAGTCAATTAAGACGCCTATATTTTTTTCCTCTTCAACCTTTGTGAATGGTTTATTTAGTAAAATGTAACAGGGTGATTGGTCGCTGCTTTTGGCTTTCTTGCCCTTTTAATTTTTCACAGATTTGCTTACATTTTTCGGGATAAAATTTTAAAAGCCATCCATCGCTTCATGATCCAACTTGTTTAGGTCATCTTGTAAAATATTCCTATCGTTCATATCCTTTGTAATTCTAAACATCTGCGAATAGATAAGCATCTTAATCTACTTAGTCAGGAAGATCGTTTATATATAATACAAAAAGCAGAGGGCCCAACACTGATCATTGAATAATCCCTAATGTTACATTTGCCCAGTCTTATTATTTACCATTTGCCATTACCTTTTGTTGTCTATCATCTAGAAAGCTTGTGATCAATTCCAAATGTGTGGTCGTCAATTCCAAAGTCCTTTATTTTGATAATCATTTTTTTGATAATCAATCTTTTTTTAGGAACCATATCAAATTCTTTCATAAAATCGGTATAAATGAAGTCTATGTGTAGGCCATGATCTAATGCGTCTGTCCACTTATCAATATCCTCAAGTAGTTGAAGTCCAGTTGACCTTCCCACAATAAAGCAATATTGCTTTTTAGAAAACAATTTGTTTACTTTCATGTGTTCTATCATATATTCCAGTAACTGTTGTAATTTTCCATTATATTACATACAACTGATGTCAAGCTGACTAGTTTATAATTTTTAACATGAGATCGACTTATTTCCCTTCTTAAAGATTGCACTTTTCATTGAATTCTTCTAAATTCTGTTGGGACCGATTGACTATTAATTGACTGGATAACAATAAGTTACAGCGTCTTTGCTATAGAATCGGCTATTTCTTTTAATAATCATTGGTGAAGCTTGCGCATACCTGGTGATTTATCTAAATATTTAAAAACTGTTCCCTCCCTGATTATTGGTTTTGACATTAATATAAAAATAAGATGTGGTAAAATTGCCATTGAGACAATTAACTATCCACCAGAGTTCAAATGAAGTGGATGTAAGCTATTATATATAACCGTACGGCCTTCAAAAATGAGAAAAACCCACACCGTATAATCGGCTATAAAAAGCCCCGACATGAAAAAACGAGAAACAATTCAAACGAGAAAAACAACGGCCTAATCTATAGCAAAACAATTAACGAAAAAACAGTCATGAACCAACGACAACCAATGAACACATGATCCTTGCTTGGGAGGACAGGCACATAAAGAATGTGGCGGGATAAGACATGATTGTGAGCACTCAACCCCCAACCCCCACCCCACCCCCATAACCTAGGACAGTGTTTTAACAGCACAACATAGGAACAACTTTATAAAGTTTGTTTTTGGTATTGATATTTGTCCATGCATCATCTGCTTCCTCAGTGAATACACTATAAAAGTAATCCACTAGCATAAAGAATGTGGCTGGGTTAAACATATGTGTGAGCACTCACCCCCCCCCCCCCCCCCCCAAAAAAAAAAAAAAAAAAACCAGGACAGTGTTGTAATAGCACAACAGAAGAACAACTTTATAAAGTTTGTTTTTGGTATTGGTATTTGTCCATCTGGTTCCCGGTCAGTGAATACACTGGAAAAGTACTGTTATCCTCGATTTTTTTCTGATTTTGTATTTTCGGGATCAATATGTAAGTCCTCAATACCTTCTTTGTTTTTTTCATTTTGGTTTAATCAGAGACATCAAGGATTTGTATAGTGAACTATACAAATCCTTGGAGACATGTATGATATATATGTCTTTGGTTTAATATAACTTCAAATCGCTTTATGATTTCTTTGTCCGGCTTTTTGGAAACGTTTTTTTTTTCATATCATCGTCACCGGCTCGCTTCAACTTCGATTGTTATATTAATTTCTCGTCACTGGATTATTATTGTCTATGATCTTTGTTGAAAAATTTGTTTGCCTCTTAATTTTATCCTTTATATTTTTATCAATAGGAAAATTAGTATTTCCAGATGTCTCTGGTATTTCCTTTTCGAACTTTAGTTTTTTTGTCTTTCGGTTGGGACATGTGATCATATGTCACATATTCTCTTTTGTTTTTTATATTTATCAAGTTTAACTGGTCATATAATCATATGGGCTATGGCTGGAAGTCTATCTCGTTGTCACGCATCTAAAAAAAAACAACTGGTGCATACTTGTTTTGTTTATTTTGTTATTTACTGGGACATAAGATAAGATCTTATTATGTCCCAGGTTATTAAGTATCATACACATGTCAATATTGTGTGGATTTTAAAACTAATCTTGAAAATTCTTCTTCTCCCTCTACTTTTAATTAAAAATTCAATTATTAGTCTTTCATAAAACCAATCAATTAATTTGTTCTCATAATTACTTATTGACTTAATCAAGTATTTGATACGTCAAAATTCCAATTAATTTTTTCCGGGTATGTGATTTTACAATAACTATTACCGGTTATCGTTCTTTATCGATAGGTGTCGCTGCTGTACTTTAACATCGCTTGACTCGAACAATGGCCTCACAAACTCACAGCAAGAAAAGAGTCTGTTATTATTACGATGGTATGTTCAATATCTTTTTTTAGTTTCTAACATCTCGAAAACATTGATTGGTTTTCTAAAAGGACCGAAAAAGGGACCAAACCACCTAAATGCGAAATAATTTGGTTTGAAGCGGTCATTCCCCTTATGTAGGCCCCAAAAAAACGCGCACGTTTGGATGTAAATATTTGAAATATTGTATTAATGAATTAATTCTGATGTGAATTTATCAGAAAAGACAAATTATATTTATTTTAGAATTGTTCGTAGTTTATTTATTGCAAAAAAAACACTAATTATATAGCAAAACGCTTGTTTCCTTTGAAAAACTATGGAAGCCCATTTTCCCACGTTTGGCGTACGAAAGTGACAATTTTTTTTAAACACTTTTATTTCAGTTTAAAATTGCTCTTGTCTGAATTAATCAAGAAAGGAACTTTTTTCACTACTATAAATATGAATCAAGCATTTTATTTCTTTTACAATCTATATTTTTGAAGTTGCTGTTGTAGCATTAAATTCAATCTATGGAAGACCATTTTTCTGTATTGAATAATTATGCTATAGTTGGGACCAATAGACAAAGGGACATGGAACTAAGATAATTAACATAATATAATTGTCTCCTCAAATTTACCTGTAAATGACTTTGTATGTGGCAAGAGGGGTGAGGTGCCAGAATATTCATTATGTTGAATGTGGGCAGTATTTGGAAGAAGGGTGCATTTCTCTGTTCAAACATGGGTCTACTATTTTTCTCACTCTTAGGTTTGCTTATTGATTTTGACAAAATGAAATTATTGTAAGCTGGCATCAGACTCATTTAACTGTATAAATCTAGAAAAAATAAATGTATACAATTTAGATCTGATTTAATTTGTTTTAATATTTGGATTAGACCATCAGACAAAAATGATGAGTAATCAAGGCTTTGATTATGTAGATATTTATTTTGTCAGAACTTTGGACTTTTTATGTCCAAAAATTTGTGATAAAAAATTCTTAGTGGGAACCGTGCTTTAGCTTCTTTTTATTAAATGTCATGAATTTTGATTGACATCTAATATTCTGTTACACAGCTAACTTTGTCTGATCCATTTTTCCCAATTCAGTTTCTTAAGTGATATCATTATATTTGAATGTTTCCATTAAATAGGAGACATTGGAAATTACTACTATGGCCAAGGTCATCCTATGAAGCCACACAGAATACGTATGACACACAACCTTATACTTAACTATGGACTGTATAGGAAGATGGAAATTTATGTAAGTACAAATGTAGATGTTAAAACAATAAACTGAAGCCATATTCTGATGTACAATCATCAATGTACATCATTAAAGGTTTTATTTTGTATTGACTACACGTACATCATGTATATCATTAAAGGTTTTGTTTTTTATTGACTACATGTACATCATTAAGATTTTGTTTTGTATTGACTACATGTACATCATTAAGATTTTGTTTTGTATTGACTACATGTACATGTACATCATTAAGATTTTGTTTTGTATTGACTACATGTACATGTACACCATTAAGATTTTGTTTTGTATTGACTACATGTACATCATTAAGATTTTGTTTTGTATTGACAACATGTACCTGAACATCATTAAAGGTTTTGTTTTGTATGGATAACATACATGTACATAATTGTATAAGCATGGTAGGAAAAGATCTTCAATTAAGTTAAACATTGCTTATATCAAATATGGTAAGGGGGGCCTTGGTGGCTGAGTGGTCTATGTAGTTCATCTGCAGCAATCATTAGCCTTTCAACGATGAGATTGTGAGGTTGAACCCTGCATGCTGCTGGTGCATTGGACTCTATCTTTTTTGTCCCCTGTACAACTCTTTGCGGGGGACATAGAAATACCGGGCGTCCATCCGTCCGGTCTTGTTAGCGCTCCCACATGTACAATTCTTGACAGATTTTTATGAAACTTGTATCAGCAATGTCTTGGACGAGTTCGAAAATCAGTGTCAATCAATTATTTTTTAAAGAGTCATGCCCCTTGGAAACATTAAATATATGGAAAATTGCCTTATGAGCACTCTAATATGTACAATTCTTGCCAGATTTTTATGAAATTTATATTATAGGTTTATATCATCAATGTCTTTGACGAGTTCAAAAAGCAGTGCCGATCTATTTTAAAAGAGTTATGCCCTTGGAAATATTGATTATATGGAAAGTTGCATTGTCAGCGCTCTCATGTGTACAATTATTGCCAGAATTTTATGAAACTTATATCATAGGTTTATATCAGCAATGTCTTTGACACTTTTGAAAAAAAAGTGCTGATCAAATATTTTTAGCGAGTTATGCCCCTTGGAAATATTAATTAAAATGGAAATCCCATTGCATTTGCTCTGAAGCTTTCATTTCTCTAAGAGACTAAGATATTAATAAAAAGTCTTAAAGAACAAAATAAAAGTGCTTTCTTTAGTTATTGCCCTTGTACCTTGGATAGATAAATATGTGCAACGCAGGGGACATTGGAACTTTGTTCTTTGATTGACTTAGATTTACTGTTTTCCTGCCTAAGGATGTGGTTCTCTCTGTCCACTTGGACGTCCTTCCACCAATAAAAACTCTCTGCCACAATGTAGTCAAGAGTGCTGAAAATTGTGTCGAACACCAACAATCTATCAAATAGGGTGAAAAAAAAACAATATTGACACCAAAAATTATAGAGATATGAAGTAACACAAATTACTCAAATTTGTATAAGGTGTGAAATAAATTGCATGTATGATACAACTATTGAAGGAAAAATGTAAAATTTTCAAATGAGGATGGTGATGTATTTTAAACCTATTTTATTGTCAAGTAACATATGTGACAATCTGATAAGATACCAATGACAGTTATATAGATGTAAATTTATTGGATTATAACTGACTAATGGTTCATCTGTTGTACATGTATTTAAAAATTTGATCATAAGTTCAATATGTATCAGTTTAATATAATTCACTCTTAAATTTGTAATATATGTCGGAGTCAAATCTATGTCCGCCCTCAAATCTAAGTCCTGTGACGTCATGACACTCAAATGTGTGGCCCTTTGTCATGCCTCTAATATGCGTTCCATGACGTCATGACACTCAATTGCTATAAAGCGGGAGGTTTGGCATGCCATGAAACCAGGTTCAACCCACCATTTTTTCTTAAAATGTCCTGGACCAAGTCAGGAATATGGCAGTTGTTATCAAATAGTTCGTTTCTATGTGTGTTGGGCTGTTGGCGTTTGTTTTTGTTGCACTTCAGTGTGTCTGTTGTTCCTTTGTTTTCCTCTTATAGTTGATGTGTTTCCCTCGGTTTTGGTTTGTAACCCGGATTTGTTTTTTGTCAATCGATTTATGACTTTTGAACACCAGTATACTACTGTTGCCTTTAATTATCAATTATGTGCCCTTTGTTTATTCAAATCTTTGTGCTGGTTATAAATTAGACTTTCTGTATTGTGAAGTGACTTAGGACAGATACTTATAGAATGTGCCAGGGTTAAAGTGCCCAACCCCTAATCTTGGTTTGTTGAGTAACAACACAACATAATGTTGTAGCTGCAAAAATCAGTGGAAAAGGGCCTGACTCGTCATCATGGTACATTAAGAACAAAATTCAATTAACAAAAAGACATAAATCTACTGTAAATTCAGAAATTATTGCGAAAAATGCGACAAGGTTATAATCGCAATAATTTAAACTCGCATTTTGAAATTTTTTATATGAATTAAACAGGATTTTTCTCAATATCGCAAAAATTAAAATCGCATTTTAGTCTAAGACGACAAAATCGCAATAATAAATGCACGCAATAATTTCTGAATTTACAGTATTTTACTGTTTTAACTTCAAGACTTCTTATTTTAAGAATTCCAAAGAAAACGTTTATGACTTACATGTATGTATCTATATTGAGAGAGAACAAAAATATCTTAACTGTCTTCACTTTTTCTATTTTTTTTACTTTAAAATAATTTTGAAAAAGCTTGGTAATAAATCTTTGACAACAAAAATATTTTCTCAAGATGTTTTTATAATTCTGAGGTATATGCAGGACAGTGCATGACTTGTTGAAAAGGACACAGATTTAAGAAAAGAAAGGACATAGATTTGTGACATCTATGATGTAATATAGAATAGACCACAGGTCTGAGGAAAGGACACAGATTTGAGGCTGACATATTTGTACATATATTATAATTTTATTATTACCTGTATGGACTGTTTTTTTTTCTTCTGTAGTTTAAAATTGAATTCTAGATCACAATAATCCTAAAAAATAACATCAGTAATTTTTGTCACAACAGTCTTCTTGCATTGTGTGTTATAGTGTTGTACAATATATTGTTCATCAATATTTTGGTGAATGCCATTGTGACCAACAGTTATCTCACAGTTTTTTTTTAGTAGAGCATTGGTGCCTTGAGGGCAATATGTAGTTTTTCAAGTTCATAGAAGAAAGAAGAGACACACATATATAGTAAAGTTTTTTTGTAAATTAAGTTTTCTTTTGACAGAGACCACACAAAGCCACACAAGAAGAAATGACAAAATTCCACAGTGATGACTATATCAAGTTTTTACGAAGTATAAGACCAGATAACATGTCTGACTACAACAAACAGATGCAGCGATGTAATAATATATAATGTTTTCAAGTTTCATCTTTTTAAAGCAACAGATATTAATGCTTAAAATAATGGTATAGAAATTTGTAATGGTTAATTTAAAAAATTCTGCAAATAAGACATTAAATTGTTTGAAATGTTGTTGCATATGAAAACTTACATGTATTTACTGGAACATGTACATTATCTTGTCATCTTCTTTTGTTCCATTTCTGTTAATCTTTTTCATACTTGTAAAAGTTTGACTTTTAAAGCATTAAATTTTGAAATGTCAAAGATTAAAATAAAAAACTTGAAATTAAACTGTAAGTACATGTGTGAATTGGAAGTTATTAAATAAAATAAATGGGCTGAAATAATAAAGTAGAGAATAGTTGCTGCTATTACAGTGCTTATTTCTTGTTCAAAGTAAATTCAAAGCTGAAGATTATTGAAGACCTTAGCAAATAAGTTAACCATAAGTATATATGAATACTTTCATAATAATATGTTTTAAAGTAACACTAAGAATTGAAATGAATGCAAATTTTCAAAACTATAAATCTTTTCAGTTAATGTTGGAGAAGATTGTCCTGTATTTGATGGAATGTATGAATTCTGTCAGCTGTCAACTGGTGGCTCAGTAGGTTAGTATTTAATACTCTGACTAGAACAACTTTATTGTTTTTTCATTTTTGAAAATGGAATTTAGGAAGAAATAATTCTGCATGTTTTAAGTACAATATCCATTATCTCGAAATGTAGTATTGTGAACATGTACATAAAATTTATTCTTAGATTACCCTGGCATGTGATGGCCTTTTTAGGACTTTCTTTGAATGTCATAGCACAGTTAATATTTATAAAACATGGAAATTGTCTCCCCAGATTCTCAAGACAGATAAGTTACCAACTCAATTCTTAGTATACATTTCCAAATTTTTTATAAATACTGCACTCTAACATCCCATGGCCCAACTAAGTCCCAGAAAATGCTTGCAGACATCAGAGCTAGTTTTTAATAAAAAAGATTTAAGTTACGTAATACAATACAAAATAAAAAAGTTGTTTTTCATGAACATAAAAAAATGCTAGTCCCCTGTTATATATCTATTTTATTTTTATGTTTTTTTTGGGGGGGGGGTAGGAATTATTTGTAATGAATTTCCAAATTTTGTAGGTTAAAACTTGCATGTATAGCATTATGTATTTTTTAAACTGACTAATGTATTCATGATTTTAAATTTAAGAAATTGAATTAAAGCCCCCTAATAGTGACAAGGTCATAGCTTAATATGGATTTCCACAATCAAACTGTTTGTAATAATTAAATTCACATTAAGCCAATAATACAGTACATACAAATTTCACATATGGAGTTATTAAATGTACACTACACAAATTTCTTGTAAATGCTAATAAATATGTAAGTGTCACTCACAAATGTTTTTTTAATTTTTCCGATTACAGCTGGTGCAGTAAAATTAAACAAGCAAGCAGCTGATATTGCTATTAACTGGGCTGGTGGACTTCATCATGCCAAGAAATCTGAAGCTTCAGGCTTTTGTTATGTCAATGATATCGTACTGGCTATCTTAGAATTACTTAAGTAAGTTCTGTCAAACATTACAACTAGATATTATACCTTGTTTATCATTTCCACAGATGATACAAGTTACAGATTATCAATATTATAGTTACTAAAGTGGATTTGGATAATTGATAAAAATAATGAAACAATAATGTTTTCATTTTGTTTTTGTGAATTTGATGCAAAAACAACCTACATTGTTCCAAACATAAACCTTAAAGTCATAATCAAACTAACAATCTGTTCAAATTGGCAACCATAAGTGTATTTTTTGGTGGAAAATATTCATAATATTGACAAAAGAAATAATTAAATGTTCTGATTATACAATTAAATACAGTTAAACAGAGCAGATTGGAACTCATTGAGATTAACATTATACTAACAGTAACTGTTAACTTATTTCAAAATGGATTCATTATTTGTTTGTCATGTTTACCTCTTTACAGATATCACCAGCGTGTTCTATATGTAGATATTGATATACATCATGGTGATGGTGTAGAAGAAGCATTTTATACTACAGATAGAGTAATGACTGTCTCATTCCATAAATACGGGGAATATTTCCCTGGTACTGGGGACCTCAGGGTAAGTACAGAAAATATTTTCCTGGTTGGACTTAACGGACATACTAAGCTGAATTTTTAGCTTGCTAGCTCACAATGTATTACTTTGCACCCCACTGGACACACTAATCTGCTTCCCAAGACTTTGTTCATACTCCCAAATGTAATGTGGAGAGCAACAAATACGAATTATAAAGTCAAGTTTGGCCCAAGCTAAGGACCAAACCCCTGTTACTTGAGGCAAGCATAGTTCCACAAGACTAACAAGGAGGTTATATTGTGAATTTGGATTCGATCTATTATAATATATGTGCACTTCATAAATACAGCAAAAAGGACAACTTCTATGATTTAAATAAAAGAACAAGAGTTCCAATGTCCCCCATGTAGCACATATTTTATATTTCCAAGGGGCATAACTCTTATAAAAAAGTCGATCGTCAACCATTATAGGACATGTCCAAGATATTGCTGATATTAACCTATAATATAAGTTTTATAAAAATCTGGCAAGAATTGTACCCGTGAGAGCGCTAACGAGGCTATTTTCCATAAATTTAATATTTCCATGGGGCATAACTCTTTTTAAAAAAGTTGATAGTCCACCATTATAGAACTTGTCCGAGATATTGCTTATATTTACCTATAGTATAAGTTTTATAAAAATCTGGCAAGAATTGTACCTGTGAGAGCGCTAACGAGGCCATTTTCCATAAATTTAATATTTCCAAGGGGCAGGACTCTTTAAAAAAAAGTTGATCATCCACAATTATAGAACTTGTCCGAGATATTGCTGATATTAACCTATAGTATAAGTTTTATAAAAATCTGGCAAGAATTGTTCCCGTGAGAGCGCTAACAAGACTGGACGGACGGACGCCGGGTATTTCCATGTCCCCCGCAACGCATTACACGGGGAACAAAAAGGAGGATAAGATTATTAATAAAAGTAGATATACATGTATTGTACTGATGTTTTGTCTGTTTTTTGTGTTGTCAAATATTTTTGTGAATCCATGTTCTCTTTTTTTTATGTACATTGTATATTTGATTATCTTTGATTATCTTTGTAGGATATAGGTGCAGGCAAAGGGAAATATTATGCTGTAAACTTCCCACTCAGAGATGGTATAGATGATGATTCATACGAATCCATATTTAAACCAGTAAGCATTCTTAGATGAATTAGTCTATTTTGAACAATTTTGATACGTTATGTAATGGATATAAGAAGATGTGGTGTGAGTGCCAATGAAACAACTCTCCATCCAAGTCAAAATTTATAAAAGTAAACCATTATAGGTCACAGTACGGTCTTCAACACGGAGCCTTGGCTCACACCGAACAGTAAGCTATAAAGGGCCCCAAAAAATTACTAGTGTAAAACCATTCAAACGGGAAAACCAACGGTCTAATCTATATATACTTTTCATAAGTGTAAGCAGGTACACCCATTAAAAGATGATAGTATCAACTAAACCTGCTGAAATGATAAAATAATGATGATGATTTATACAATAAAAAAATCAAATTGTAATGCATTGAGCTTAGATACACAACTTGTGTTCTTAAATCTTAATTTTGTCCTTAGAATATTGATATGAAAGAAATTTGGATAACCATTTCGGTTTTACCTTTAACTAATTTAAAACCATTAATTACAGGTGATGACAAAAGTGATGGAGATGTACCAACCTAGTGCAATTGTACTGCAATGTGGAGCTGATTCCCTGTCTGGTGATAGACTGGGATGTTTTAACCTTACACTGAAAGGTATGACACTAACAGGCCATGTTTGGGAAAAAAATGCTTATACCAGATGTGTCAGGCTGGCAAATGTTCAGATATTTTTTTAATATCTTAATAATGATACTTGACCTTAATAAACGTTAAATCTTCAAAATGATGTCCATGTATTTATATATACAATACATTAAGTCACTTCTTGTTTAAATTTGTGGTGATTTTGAGTTAGTCACATCGTATGCATGTCACCATAGTTGAAGGACTTGATTCATAAGATTATTTACACATAAATACTACTTAGAAGTAGCAAATTTAGCATTAATTTGAAATCAGTTGGCAATTCTTGAATGAAAGACTGTGCGAAAAATTCCCAAATTTACAATAATAAGAAAGAAGTTTAAGACTTGAAAAATTAACAGGCATTGTGCCTTCATTCTCTAGATGACCGAATCTAGAAGATGTTAAATTTTTATGTGGTAGTTTTAAAAAAGTAGCCATGGATTGATTCAATGTACTTTAATTGACTTATATATTGTAGGACATGGAAAGTGTGTAGAATTTATGAAGAAATGGAACCTGCCCTTGTTACTCTTAGGAGGCGGAGGTTATACTATCAGAAACGTAGCCAGATGTTGGACATATGAGACATCTTTAGCACTTGGTGCAGATGTAGCAAATGGTAAATAAAAAAAATTTGCAACACCAACAATTTCTATAAGTTGATTAACAATGAAAATATTTTGGTCATAGTAATCATAAAAGGGTTTGATTTATTTATCAAGAAACAGAATAGTTTCATAGAAGTAGCATGTGTAAGTTTATTTAATGAAAAGAAAGAAAAAAATTTTGACATATGTTGTTGCAGAGATGCATTTGTTGAACTGCATGTTGAAATGAAAGTGTGGACTCTGGTGAAGAATATCTACAATTGAAAGATAACTTACGAAATTAAAATTTTGATGAACAGCATCAAAAGATGATACTCTGACAATTCAAAATCTTTATTATATAGGTAGTACTTATTATTGAATTGTGATCTTAAAGTTTCACTATCATAAATTACATGATTTTTAACAATTTCAGAGTTACCATATAATGATTACTTTGAATATTATGGACCAGACTTCAAATTAAATCTCAGTCCTTCAAACATGGCTAACCAGAACACTGGAGAATATTTAGACAAAATCAAGTAAGTTTTAAAGTGGCTTTGTTATAGTTGTTACTTTTATTGTCCTAAAATCTTAAGCACAAGTTTCTGTATACAGTCGGACCCCGTTGTGTCGAACTCGGATGAGTCAAGGTAATTTCTTGGTCCCTGTAAAAATCCTGTTTGATCAATGCATAATTATCTGTGATGGGTTACTCGGTTGATTCGAATACTTGGTTAAGTCAAGTAAATTTTATATTCCAGTCAATGTTAAATTAATGTAAATTGACCCCAATGTCTTGAAGTTTGAAAGATGCAGACTTAATAATAAAATTCAAATCAGATGTATTTCTTATGTTTCCTAATCATTTCCAAAAAAGATTAAAGCTGTGTAAACATACTTATTTGTATAACAATTAAAATTACATGTTTATGGTGACAGGTAATTAACACCTTTGTTGATCGTGCAAGCGGAACTTTAGTTTAGTTTATATTTTAACTGACATAAAAACGAAATGAATTTAAATGACCCAATTCTAAATTAAATGAATCATTAGAATTAAAATTCATTAATTACAATTAATAAAAGGATAAAGACATTTTATGATAAATTTATAATAATGGAATGCAAAGAAGACAACCCTCATTAGAGATTTTTCAAAACTAGTTTCTTTCTGCGAGTGATTTCATAATTCATAGTGACTGACCTTTGTAAATATTTGTAACGCTGTATGGATTTTATTTGTGAATGTTTTGTATCTGTAATTGTATCTGTATTGTGTGTTTAATTATATGAGGGACCAAAAAATACGGAGATTGAATACACAATCATAGTGTCATATCGAAAAAAGGCTACCTGCTCAAATATCTAATTTACACAAATCTCATACCATATTTCGTGCATTCAAAATTTATGACGACACACTCAACCTCGGATGAGTCTAACCTCAAAATACTTTTGTACGGTCCCTTCACCTTGGACGTAACGAGGTTCGACTGTTCATTGTATTAAATAAGAATCTAAATAACTCTCAGTAGTCAGTCCTTGGTGTAACACTTTAAGGATCAAGTATGATTATTTTTTCTGCGGTTCTGAGTAAACCACATTTTATGGAAATATGCTATCAGCTAATGAAATGTACAAACAGTTTAATGGTAAGAATGGAGGTATGAGTAATTTTGGTGCACAAATGAAAAAAATAATCAATATTAAAAAAAAACCAAAAACCAAACTGCTTTCTATCAGCTGTCTGCAATAGATAAATGTGTACATTTAAAAATATTTGTCACATTTGTATGCTGAAAAGATCTTGGATACTAAGATAGGTGGGTTAGTACATACATAAAGAGGTAGGCAACAAAATTCTGTAAAATGTTGAACTACCAACAACCTACAGTAAACAAACAACATGATGTATAACTGTTGATCTTAATTTTAGGACAAGATTGTTTGAAAACCTTAGGATGTTACCTCATGCTCCAGGTGTACAAATGCAAGGTAAGGTCACTAAATCAATTATATCGGATTTATTAGTATGTAAAGTTCCAATGATGGCTGATAGCCTTGAAAATACTTCTAACAATTACCTTATTCTTGGAAAATACACTTAAAAAAGCTCTTCTCTGACACTTATTAGACACAATTCTTGTGATCTAAACTCATGAAATCTAATTTCATTTAAGTAATTTTTTGGTGAAAGTTGGAAGGTGAACATTGCAAGCTTTATAAAGTCTTCGGTTAAGAATCAAATACAGCATTTGCAAAATATTATTTAATAGTTTAGGCTTGAAGATATGTTTTGTGAGAGTTATGCATGATTGATGGATTTGATTTATTGATTGATTGACTCATGTCCATCACCATGTATGTCGTGCAATTTTCAGGACAGTTTAGAAGCTGCACATGAAGAAAACAATGAAAAGGTTCCAAATCTTGTTAAATTTAAAAAGTGTTTTTGAAATCAGGAAAATTTAATGAAAATAAACTCGAGGTAAAGTGACCAATATGTTTAAAAGAGTTGTACAAGATTTAGCTTGACTCAGCAGTACTGGTATATTGTAGCAATTCCTGAAGACGCTCTTAATGATGAAAGTAACGAAGATGAAGACAAAGATAACACTGATGAAAGAATTTCAAGTATGTTCACGAAATAGTCCCATTTTAATCAGATTTATAAATTTCACAGTCATTAAAGGATTTCAAGAAAATAAATGAAATGGACTTACAAAAGTTCATACACTGTAAACCAATAATTTTTGTGAGTAGAAAAATATAAGAAATTTGTGAATATATCAAAATGATGTCAAAATGAAATCTTTTCTATTTATAAGATTGTAAAATGGTGAAAAATAATTTGTTGTGAATTGGGCTTTCAAGGGTTAAACGAAAAAGTTATAGTTTTCACAGAAATAAGTTGGTTTACAGTTGTTGGATCAATGAATGTTTCGTTAATTATGATTATGAATATAAATATTTTTTTGAGGTTTTAGAAGTTTTAAAAGTAATGAGGATTTCTCTATCAAATTATTTTAAATATTTTCAGTCCAAACCATTTACAAGAGGATAGCGTGTAATGAAGATTTCTCTTTCATAATTATTAATGTATCTTTTCAGTCCGAGCCAGTGACAAAAGGATAGCTTGTGATGAAGATTTCTCTGACAGTGAAGATGAAGGTGAAGGTAGCAGAAAAGACAAACAAAATTATAAACCTAAATCTAAACGTCCCAGGACTGACGATGATAAAAATAACTCGTCCGAGAAAGGTAAGACACGTTAAAATATATAAATATAAACATCTCCCTACTTACAGCAATGAAAATGGTTCATCTGAGAAAGTTAAGACTTACCGAATAACACGCACATGTAAATATTACAGGATTGATGACGGTGAAGGTATTTCATTGTAGAAAGATAAGATCGTCAGAATTATGAACTTACATTATCAAAACTGATAGTTATAAAGGTAAGTCTTCTGTGTGATTTTGGAAATGTCAAAATGTAAAACATTGAATGATTTGAAAATGGTTAAAGTTCCAGAATAACATTAATCCAAATCAACCAAAAAGAACCAGAATTTTATTTCCAAATAAGAAATTGGAAAATTATAATTTTAAAGTCTCCATACATAAAAAAAAATAATTAATAATGAAAAGATCTTCATGAATAATTAAATTACTGGGGATATCCAATCAGATGACAACAGCCAATATTCCTATAGTTTGACTCTTGTTGTCTTACATCAGCTAGAGAGGTGACTCCAGAGATAATGTCTGTAAGCAGTTAGTTCCAATATACTTAATCCATCAGATGCCTCAAACTTTAAATTTTAAAAAATGTGCATCATTTGGAAATTTTCTTGTGTATGCAGGATTAATGTGCATTTGTCAAATTGAAAATAGTAGTACAAAATTCTATACACAACTATAAATTGAAATTTAGAAATATTTTGATTCCAAAAAATATTTTGATCTTTTGTTATCTCATTTGAGAAATACCACTATAAACCTAAATATGTGAGAATTGACAATCAAACAGTTTGCACTGGTAGCCACTAGTCCGATGCCCCAGACTAGTAAAATTTTATTTGGACTAGGAAGTATTTGCAAAACTTGGTTTAGACACATAAGAAAAATGTTGGAATATTGGTCTTCAGACTAGTAGTTGGAAAAGATTTTGGTGCAGACTGAAAAAAAAAATAATGAAGAAGGCTTCATAAAGATAATTCGACTCATATGTACATCTGTGTAAAGTAAACTATAATGTACTGAAGGGTTCGGAAAATATCACAGAATGTATGATATAAAATTGAAAAATCTGTAAATATTCACTTCATCAGCATTGTAAAAACATTAATGAAGTAGAGTATTGATTAAGGCATTGGATATTTATTAACTTGAACAACATAAGATTAGATTATTTAAAATTACAAGAATAACCATTTATACTCCTGGTTTACATTTGTAATATGAGAATTGCTTAGGTATACTTTTCTGTTGAGATTGTAATCAGATGTATTTTTGAAAAGCACTTGCACTTATTAAAGATTTTTATGTTTCCTTGTAATTTATGGCCAGTCTTTTGTGTGGAGCACTTACATATATTATATCTAGTCAGGGACTGATTTGAAAGGGCTTGGTGCCCCTGAATTATATAATATTATATCTAGTCAGGGACTGATTTGAAAGGGCTTGGTGCCCCTGAATTTTGCTTTTTTTATGCCCCCACCATAGCGTAGGGTGCATTAAGTTTTACCCTTATCTGTCTGTACGTCCGTCCATACGTCCCAAAATTGGTTTCCGTTCTCTAGCTTTAGTTTGCCTCAACCAAATGTTATGAAACTTATACATAATGCTTATTACCACAAAACACACATCAATTTTGAATTTTGGTGGCGTCACTTGTACCGTTCTAGAGTTATGCCCCTTTACATTGTTTCCGTTCTCTAACTTTAGTTTGCCTCAACCAAATGTTATGAAACTTGTACACAATGTTTTATTACCACAAAACACAGCTCAAGTTTGAATTTTGGTGGCGTTGTTTTTACCGTTCTAGAGTTATGCTCCTTTACAAATGGAAAAATTGCTGAATTTTTTGTTTCCGTTCGCTAACTTAAGTTTGCCTCAACCAAATGTTATGAAACTTATACATAATGCTTTTTACCACAAAACTCAGATCAAGTACAAATTTGTGTAGCGTCACTTTTACCCTTCTTGAGTTATGTGCCTTTATAATATACATGCAAGCGGGGGCATCAGTGCCCCATGGACACATTCCCCATTTATTTTAATTAGGTATACATTGACCAAAATATTTGTGCCTTGCTTTCCATTGAAAAATATTGAATATCATTGCCCCTTTCAGATTGCTTAACTGTACTACTATGATATTATCTGTTTATTCTCCAGCAGAGACACAGGAAGAAAAGAAGGAAGTTAAAAAGGAAACAACAGAGACAAAAGAAGAGACAAAAGCAACACAAGAAAAAACGTAATTGATAAGTTTATTTATTTTACATTTTATTGGAAGGTGTATGAGACATATAGTATTAATAATAGTATTATTAATAAGTGGGTCTCTGGCCTTACTTGACAAGTAGATGCTTTCAGTTTCAGCCCAGATCTTTGAATCCTATTGTAATATTTGCATACAAATTTAAGTTGTGTACATCATAGTTAAAAAAAAAAAAGAGTTGTGCCTAATCTTGTGACATTAAGGAATTGTTCCATTTAACAGGGCTATAGAAACTTAGTATATGTAGTATCTTTGAGATAGTTTTTTCAACTTTAATTATCTGTTATGTGTAATTAACCCTAAATGCATCTACACATCATACCTTTAAATTTCTGGATCCTTGCTGGATACTGAAAATTTCCACCTCATTGTAGAAAAGTATTATGGGGATTTTCACAATTTTTTTGAATCACCAGACTTTTTAATTATTCAGCATTATATTTAACAGATTTTTTTCATAGTTATCAAATTGTCAAATTAAATGCTAGTGAAAAAATTGTATTTCAGGGAAGAAAAAACAGAACTGGTGGACAAAAAAGGTAAGCAAAATTAATTGAAAACAAAATTATCTTATTCTGTATAACAATGACTTCATGATTTAAGAAGAAATATGATTTTTTTTTTGTTAACATGTTTGCATCAATGTATGGGGTACATTTGATAAAAAAACATTTGGAAAAGTTCCGCCACTGAATATTTCTGTTATATCAATGCACAAACATTCCAAATTAACTTTGAAGAAACTAGATATCATTGAGATGGGAGCCATCTCTGTGGGCCCCGCTGTGAATAATGTGTGGTAAAAAATTTGCATCTTTATCATTGGACATGGGGTTGTCAACTGAAACCAAAGTTTTTGACCTTGACCTTTGACCTAGGAAGTTGTACATAAATTATGACACACCCTCTGGTGTTGGTTTATATACATGTCAAGTATAAACTTTGAAATCATAACGGTTCTCAAGATATAGAGCGGACACGATCTTTACCATAGGACATGGGGTTGTCAACTAAAACCAAAGTTTTTTTACCTAAGAAGTTGTACATACATTATGACACACCCTCTGGTGTTGGTTTATATACATGTCAAGTATAAACTTTGAAATCATAACGGTTCTCTAGATATAGAGCGGACACATATTGTTATGGACGGACAGACGGACGGACGGACAGACTGATCACTATAGGGCGTCTGCCATTCGGCGGGGTCCTAATAATTATTCAGCTGTATATGTCATTCACCAGCAAAAACTGTTTTGACTTATTTGTCTTAATGGTCATGAAGCTGATGGCTGTTGGTACGTCCTCTAGTCTCAGTAAAAATTGAGGTATCCTTACTTTGCTTCCTATTAACAGCTAACCAAGCATTCTTTAAAATCATTTGGCTGAAGATGATTTTCTTACTTTCTCTGTTAATCTTTTCATGTACACTACTTTAATACCTGCTACTTCAAGAAAAACTTATTTACAGTAATTATCTAAAATAAATCTGATCTGATCTTGTTCAAATCAAAATGGCACAAATGAAAACTTTGTTATAGACAACACTGCACAACTACAAGTTTTTTTTCCTTTTAAGGATCTACACAAATTTTTAACTAAGATGTAATTAATGTTTACCTATAAAATATTCTTAAGTATGTGGAACCATCTGTTTTGAAAAGTTGTGTTTCGTAAAAAGAAAGCTGGATTTTGGCAAGTGTTTACAATATAGTTTCCACAAAGATAAATAGTTGTTCGATTTGCTCATAAATTTTATTGTTTTTATTTTCAGAAAAATCTCCACCAGCCAAATCAGAAACTCCTGAATCAGCACCTAAAGAAGACACTGTTACTAAAATGGACATGTGAATGTTGGTTGTGTATTCTGTGGAGGCCATTTTCTCATCACATCATTCATCATTACATGACAGACTTATGTGCAATTTCAGAGGACAATATATAGTGATAAAAGAGATCTGAGCTATTATGATTATTATTAGAAGATTACAGGAAAAAAACAAATATTTATCTACATTTTTTTAACTCAATTTTAAATCACCATCATGATACCATCGTTATTTCCACGGATTATATATGATAAAAGTATTCAAGTTCACATGCTAGCTGTTGAAAGCATTTATCATCAAAATCATTAATCTGTTACAAGGAAATAGAAGACTGTAATTTATTATCAACATTTTAATTTTATATGAATTTTGTACATGTGAAAGAAATAAATTGTACTGAACCTACATGTACATGTCAATTTTGTTTTTAAGAAGGGTTTATTTAATGCATTGATCAAGTCAGAAAAGGACACAATTTAATTCCCCTTTCATTAACTTGCCTAGTTAGTCCCCTACCGACAAAGTCCTACCGACGAAGGTTTGCACTCCGTCCGTCTGTCCATCGATCAGTCCAGCAAATCAGTTTTTCACACATTTTTATACGCCCGTTTACGGGACGTATTATGGTATACCGTTGTCCGTCTGTCCGTCCGTCCGTCTGTCCGTCCGTCTGTCCGTCGTCAACATGTCGGACATTAACTCAAAATTGCTTAAACCAATTTGCATAAAACTTTGGTGAATTGTTTATATCTATTGACGTGAGCTCCCTTTCGTTTTTTATAAAATTTAGATTTTACGTTTCCGAGTTATGGGGTTTTATTCATTAAAAAAAGGGGGATTTTCCAGTTTTCAGACAATAAGTCAAGAATGCTTTCACCAACTTGCAAGAAATTGTGGTGAATTGTTTATATCTATTGACATGAGCTCCCTTTTGATTTTTATAAATTTTAGATTTTACGTTTCCGAGTTACGGGGTTTTATTCATAAAAAAAGGGGGGACTTTCCAGTTATCAGACAAAAACTCACAAATGCTTTCAGCAATTCTTATGAAACTTTGGTGAATTGTTTGTATGTATTGATGTAAGCTCCCTTTAGAATTTTATAAATTTTACATTTTACATTTCTGAGTTATGGGGTTTTATTCATTAAAAAGGGGTGATTTTCCAGTTTTCTGACAATAACTCAAAAATGCTGTCACCAATTCTCATGAAACTTTGGTGAATTGTTTATATCTATTGATGTAAGCTCCCTTTTTATTTTCATAAATTTCTAATATGACATTGAGAATTAATTATACTTTATTTGTTTATAGTCTGACAACAGATTTACTAAGTATTGCACAACAGCAAGAAATCTTTAATTGAACATAAATTCAATTCATATAACCAATTTCAAGTTCTTTGAATACATTTATTCAGACACCTATAATATGTCAAATATTTAATTACAATCCAAATTCAGACCTGAATCAAGCTTGAATATTGTGTCCATTTTTGCCCCAACTGTTCAGGGTTGGACCTCTGCGGGCGTATCTAGCTGCGCTCAGCGAAGCAGTTTATTTCTTCATGCTTGAAGATATTGATTTGATATTTGGTGTATCGTTTTATCATGACAAGTTACAGATCAAGTTCGAATTTTGTTCCGGTTTGATGATTTTGTGCAGAGTTATGGTCCTTTGACTTACAAAATTCACTAAAATAATCAGTTTTCTGCACTTTTTTTCATCATGCTTAAAGATATTGATTTGAATAATAGTATATAGTTTTATCATGACAAGTCACAGATCAAGTTCGAATTTTGTTCGGGTCTGATGATTTTGTGCAGAGTTATGGTCCTTGGACTTAGAAAATTCACTTAAATAATCAGTTTTCAACACTTTTTTTCCTCATGCTTGAAGATATTGACTTCATATTTGTTATATAGTATGCACCATGACAAGTTATAGATCAAGTTAGAATTTTGTTCCAATACAATGAATTTTTAACCGGTAGGGGACTATGTATTGCCATGCAGTACTCACAGAATGCTTGTTTTCAAAGAGTTATGCTTCACTTTAATTTTATTCCTGTCATAGCAAATTGGTATGAATTTTTTTTGAGAAATTGACTAAAACAGGTCATGTTTAATGACTGTGGTAAGAAATAATGACAAAAATGGCATCAGACTAGCAAGAATTTTGGTAAATAAAATAATGATGATAACATCTTAAATAAAATTTGAAAAAACTTGAATGTTCCTTGCTTTTGGAAAAAAACAAAGTGATGGCATATTTTCAAGATTTCAACCAATGCATTTCATTTTAATGCCACAATACTTCTGCTTCCTATTTTTCCCTCTAAACATTAAAAACCACAAAAAGTTACAGAAAGATGGTAATTAATTAATTTTTATTCTTAAAACAATATCATTCTTTTAATGTTAGCTGGCATTTTGTAAATATCAGCTTTCATAAAGGATAGGAATTATATTGTGCATTCAAAAAAGGCCTTGTTCTGAGATCTAATGCTCACACTTTTTCATTTGTATGCATGGTTATCATCTCACAACAAGACTTTACAATTTTATTAAAGAACAGATATAGAGTAACTAAAAGAGATAACAACTCATACTAAAATATAACCTATTGCTTGTTTTCTATGCAGTTTATACAGCTTATTGTTTGATGTTCCTGAATGGTCAACACCTGGCATCATTTAGGTTTTATGGAGAGACGGTATGTGCCTTATTCAATCTATTTGCTTTTCATAAAGAGAAGCGATAGATACCTAAGGGACTTCAAACTCATAAGTTGAAAACAAACTGACAATGCCATGGCAAATAAAATGCTCTGCTGGGGCGCAGCTTGATACGACCGCAGAGGTCGAACCCTGAACAGTTGGGGCAAGTATGGACACAACATTCAAGCTTGATACATCACTGAATTTGGATTGTAATTAAATATTTGACACAGCATAGGTTTCTCACACTGAATGAAAGTGTTCTAAGAACTTAAAACTTTTTAATTTACCTATTCAAACCATTTCATTATTATTTGCTTTTATATATATATATATATCAGAAATAACCAATTTAAAATGGAAAATTTTAAAGAAAAAAAAGAAAAAAAAAAATCCCCCCCAATTTTTTTAACCCCCTTATGATTCATCACCCCCAAACTCAATCCCAGCTTTGTGGTAAGGTACCTTGCAGTACAATTTCAGAAAGATCCATACACTTGAACACAACTTATTGTCTGGAAACTAGAAAAATGCTTGTTTTTTGGCCCCAAATTCCTAAACATTTAGGGCAATTACCCCAAAACTCAAATCCAGCTTTCCCTTTGTGATATGGAACCTTGCAGTACAATTTCATAAAGATCCATACACTTGAACACAAGTTATTGTCCTGAAACTAGAAAAATGCTTATTTTTTTCCCTTTTATGGTCCCTAATTACTAAAAGTTTGAGGGAATTATCCCCAAAATCAATCCCAGCCTTCCCTTTGTGGCATGGTACCTTGCAGTACAATTTCAGAGAGATCCATACATTTGAACACAAGTTATTGTCTGGAAACTAGAAAAATGCTTATTTTTGGCCCCTTATTCCTAAACTTTTTGGGCAATTACCCCCAAACTCAATTCCAGCTTTCCCTTTGTGATATGGAACCTTGTAGTACAATTTCATAAAGATCCATACACTTACACACAAGTTATTGTCATGAAACTAGAAAAATGCTTGTTTTTTGCCCCTTTTTGGCCCCTAATTCCTAAAATTTGGAGGCAATTACCCCCAAAATCAATCCCAGCATTCCCTTTGTGATATGAAACCTTGTGATACAATGTCAGAGAGATCCATACACTTACACACAAGTTATTGTCATGAAACTAGAAAAATGCTTGTTTTTTGCCCCTTTTTGGCCCTTAATTCCTAAAATTTGGAGGCAACTACACCAAAATCAATCCCAGCATTCCCTTTGTGATATGGAACCTTTTGGTACAATGTCAGAGAGATCCATACACTTACACACAAGTTATGTCTGGAAGTTACAAAAAAGCTTATTTTTGGCCCCTTTTTGGCCCCCAATTCCTTAACTGTGTGTACCATAACCCCAAAAATCAATCCCCACCTTCCTTTTGTGGTATTGAACCTTATGGTAAAATTTCATTGAGATCCATTCACTTAAACTAAAGTTAGAGTGCGAAAACTAATGTGTTTTTCGGACGACGCCAACGTCATACCAATATACGACCACAAAAATTTTTTTGCGGTCGTATAAAAAAGGAAAAGACAAACAACAGTAGACAAAACACAACATAGAAAACTAAAGACTGAGCAACACAAACACCACCAAAATCTCTGGTGATCTCCGGTGTTCCGGACGGGTAAGCAGATCCAAGCTATAAAATTTGTCTGGAAATAAGTGGAGTCATAAATGGGTATTTTTTTTAAAGATATAGCAAACACAACTTTCTTGAAAGAGTTGGTTGGAGCTCGTAATTAGATGACGTGAAACTGATAATTAAAATGCCAAAGTAAACCAAGCAAATTACTCATTTTTAATTGATGACTTATTTTACCTAAGAAGTACAGAAAAATAGGAGATCTTTATTAAAACAGATTTGGTAAAAAAAGACACATGTTTTTATTTTATTTGTCTATCAATACAGTCCATCTATTTCAAGGTATTGTGACGTAGATCTAAAATATTTGACAAAGAATATATATGTAGGACCGAGGTGCTATGGGGATGCTGAAGAGCAATGGTCTGCGCCAAAGTGCATTGGTCTATAAGAGTTGTGATGGCTAGTTAAAAAGTTACAGATGTTCAGTTATTATGAGAGCTTGATTTTTTCATAAGTTGGTATTTAAATACCAAACATTCAATGTTTTCTCCAGTTGCAGTAAAAAACATCAGTGATCTATTTTATTCCTTGTCCTTATTCTGATAAGGTATACATTTTTTGCTTATTTTGTTTCATTGTGACTAACCAAGAAGCTTTTGCATTTCAAACAACTACCACATTTTTTTCAGTCATTGCAATTAGTTATGCTTTTCATTAAAAATAGCTTTTGTATGTAGCGTCAATTTCTGAACAATTGTATGGAAGACTGCTTTTTTTTGTCTAAGCTATTTACAAAATACCGTATAATGTACACTACGTTACAGTGAGGACTGGAAATGCAATGACAATTTATCTTGACTGTGTTATAATTAAATGGGTTAAAAAAAACCAAAAAGCTCCTTCTTAAAAAGAAATTGACTTCTACACCACATGTAAACATGAAAAACATTGAAAATTTGATTTGTGTAATCGAATTCATTTCAGTGTAGCTATCAAAACGATAGTGTCACAATGCCACTATCGCACTTCGACATGATAAAAAGTGTACTTCAGCGTTAAACCATGGGACATCAGCATGACCCTTGCATATATATGCAGAAAACCTGATACTAGTAATCTACACATATCAGCTAAATGGGAGTTCATCCCCTATAATATGAAAGGACATATTTTTGTATTGAAAACACCTGAAATCATTCGGATCAAAAATAAAAAAAGGAGGGGCACAATGGTATTATGTCATGAAGAAAGTGAATGTTTGATTAAACTTCATTCACTGGTTAAGGAGCAGTTGTGGATGGGGGATGTTCACCCCCTATAATATGAAAGGGCAAAGTCCATGTTTGTGTATGTGAACTCGCAAAAATTTTTCTGATCAAGAAGTAAAATAGGGTCACCATGACATTATGTCATGAAGAATTTGTTACAGTTTGATTGAAATCCATTCACTGGTTTATGAGGATTTGCTGATTGGGTATGTTCACCCTATAATTGGAATTGAAAATTCCATGTTTTGGTATGGCAAACCCCAGAAATCATTTTGATTAAAATGGACAAGTACATTACATAATAAAAATTATCTGCAAGTTTAGTTGAAAATCATTTTTTGGATTGGAAGAAATTGGTCCAGACAAACAGACACTCCAATCACTAAATCCCTCTTTTCTGTAATCAGGGGTTTAAGGAGGTAAGGTATTATTACCAATAAACAACTATCTATCAAGAGTCCAAATGATCTAGATTTCAGCAACTTTAGGTCACTGATAGCCTTCAACAATGAGCAAAACCCACACCGTATAGTCGGCTATACAGGGCCATCTCATGACAAAATGTTAAACAATTCAATACGTCCTTATTTATGACAAAACACTTAACAAAAAACAGATATGACAGACTAAATTACAGGATCCAAACATGGGACAGACACATTAACAATGTAGTAGGGTTTAACATGTGTGTGAGTGATAGACCCTCCCCTAACCTGGGGCAGTGATCTATTAACAGCACAACATCAGAACAAACTTAAAATCAGATGGAAAATATTTTCTGGTTATTCTTTTTAATACATTGAACATAGGCCTTTAAATGGAAATAAAGTATAAAATAAAAGGAACTATATCTTTTTCTAAGCATTCAAAATTGATTTGAAGCAACGTCATCCATATGTGAAATTATGGGTTTTTCATTAACTGGGAAATCACAGTATCTCAATGAAACCAATGAAATAAATATAGATTTCATCACTGCAACAAGTGTGTTACAATATCTCTCCACTCGAGACAGTTAAATTTTAATATTTAAAGCGTGAGGCTTGCTGAGCTTTTTAAATAATTAAAATTTAACTGTTGAGAGTGGAGGAATATCGTAATACACGAGGTATAGTGGTGGAATCTGTTTCTCTAATGATTTTTATCCTTCCTTTTCAAAGATTTGCAGAAAGTTGTGTTCTTTATATGTGACGTCATCAGGCATGGTTGCCTTTTTTCATGACGTCACAATAGGAAATTAAGAAGAAACTCAAGAAAATCTGACGTCATAATTAAATTTTGACCAATCATTTGCAGAGAACAGTGTTTCACTAGTGAGGAGAATTATTTTTCTCACACCGATCAAGAAATGTGAAAATAGCACAAACATTAGAGAACAGGTTTTCTCCACATTGAAATTTTGCAATATTTGTATAAGATAAATCTGATGATCGATAAATTGCATTTGCTGTATTTTAACAATCAAAACAATTGATTTTTTTAACTTACAAACTAACCGAAAGAAAACTTTGATAAGTTCTTGTCAAAATTATCTAAGTCTGGTAAATCAATTTGAATGTCAAAGATAAGTTTGGGTCAAAGTTATCAAGGCCAGATCAAACATATATGATGCAACAAAGCCATGACATGTGTTTTACGAATAGGAGCATGGAAAACCTATTAATGAACATATCGAGCATTGAGCATTTCAGCATAATGCACAATACTCAGTGTAGTATTATAAATATTAATCTAATTAAGATTTTACTATGTAAATTTTGTTGTTTTTTATACGACCGCAAACAATTTTTGCGGTTGTATATTGGTATGACGTTGGCATCGTAGTTGTCATCGTCCAAAGACACATTGGTTTTCGCACTCTAACTTTAGTTTAAGTGAATGGATCTCTAAGAAATTTTACCAAAAGGTTCAATACCACAAAAGGAAAGTTGGGATTGATTTTGGGGGTTATGGTACCAACAGTTAAGGAATTAGGGGCCAAAAAGGGGCCAAAAATAAGCATTTTTGTAACTTCCAGACATAACTTGTGTGTTAGTGTATGGATCTCTCTGACATTGTACCACAAGGTTCCATATCACACAGGGAATGCTGGAATTGATTTTGGGGGTAATTGCTTCAAAATATTAGGAATTAGGGGTCAAAAAACAAGAATTTTTCTAGTTTCATGACAATAACTTGTGTGTAAGTGTATGGATCTTTCTGAAATTGTACTACAAGGTTCTATATCACAAAGGGAAAGCTGGAATTGAGTTTGGGGGTAATTGCCCAAAACATTTAGGAATAAGGGGCCAAAAAGGGGCCAAAAATAAGCATTTTTCTAGTTTCCAGACAATAACTTGTGTTCAAGTGTATGGATCTCTCTGAAATTGTACTGCAAGGTACCATACCACAAAGGGAAGGCTGGGATTGATTTTGGGGGTAATTGCTTCAAAATTTTAGGAATTAGGGGCCAAAAAAGGGGCAAAAAACAAATTTTTCTAGTTTCAGGACAATAACTTGTGTGTAAGTGTATGGATCTTTATGAAATTGTACTACAAGGTTCCATATCACAAAGGGAAAGCTGGGTTTGAGTTTGGGGGTAATTGCCGTAAACGTTTAGGAATTTGGGGCCAAAAAGGGGCAAAAAAACAAGCATTTTTCTAGTTTCCAGACAATAACTTGTGTTCAAGTGTATGGATCTCTCTGAAATTGTACTGCAGGTACCTTACCACAAAAGGGAAGGCTGGGATTGAGTTTGGGGGTGATGAATCATAAGGGATATAAAAAAATTGGGGGGGGGGGGGGGATTTTTTTCTTTAAAATTTTCCATTTTAAATTGGTTATTTCTAATTTATATATAAAAGCAAATAATAATGATATGGTTTGAAAAGGTAAATTAAAAATTCTTAATTTCTCAGACCACATTCATTCTGTGTCAGAAACCTGTGCTGTGTCAAATATTTAATCACAATCCAAATTCAGTGCTGTATCAAGCTTGAATGTTGTGTCCATACCTGCCCCAACTGTCAGGGTTCGACCTCTGCAGTCGTATCAAGCTGCGCCCAGTGGAGCATTTTATTGTTGTCTGTATTTGAGATTTTTAATGGAGCTAAATTTTAATATGTTTTTACAATTAAAACAAGTAAACCATCAGACGGTCAATTAAGAACAATATAAAACTATTTTTTTCTATATCTGGAAAGAGTTGTGAAATGTGAAACAATCCTTCTATAATCTCTAATCATAGGATTAACATTCAATTTTTTTATTCCCTATATATCACAAATACATGTATCAATGATCAACTGTTTATTGTACCCCTTTTAGGAGTGGGGCTATATTGCTATCACCTGGTCTGTCTGTCCATAAAACAAATATTTTTGTCACTGTATTCTAAACTACTAAACAGAATGACATCATGTTTGGTCAGCAGCCTGATTATGAAAGTTGATAGTGATAAGTTGTGGCTTGTGAGCATTATTTCAATATCTCAAATATCTACATCCCGTTTGCAGATACTCTGAATTTTTCAATATGTTGATTAATCAGAAAAAAGATGAATGTTTCAAATTTTATTGAAATACACTTCATAACAAATATGTAAGCACCATGTTTGGTCCCATTTTTAGGAACTACCAGTAGTTTTGAAAGAATATTGGTACATAAAAATAAGATTTTATTCTGAACAATATAAATGCAAAAAAGCTTTTCCTTACAATTCTACATAACTTGAATAGCTGTTTTTTTAATAATTTTATCAGGTACCTTGACCTCTACTGTATCTGCAAGTTTTTATATATACACTATATCTCCTCTTTTTTGATGGGAGGAAATAAAAGCTCACATTAATAATTAGGATCTTATAGTAATTTGAGATAGAATATCATTATCTTGATCTGGATAATGCAAACCAATCTGAGTAAATAAACAAACATCCATGATATTATTGTTTCTTCAGCGTAATGACATGCAAACGTTCATTGATGTAATCCAAACCCCTTTTTTTGTGCTTCTCTTCCATAGCGTCCATAGTATCTACATCCTCTATATCACAATCATCTCCTACAAGTAGTCAAGTATTTTAATGTGAGAAACTGATAGTTAATATAACACAACATTTTCCTTAAGGTGGATCATCACTATATATTTTCTCAGATAATTTTTTTTTATTATTTTGCTTTTTTCAAAAATATAATAAAAAGTATAAGGGACACAGTGCTAAATGTGAAGCTACAAGAAGACCAATTGTGTATTGCTATTTTACAATCCAAGATGGTGATATATAGTTAATCTTCCTTAAATCAGATTTTCTTTATTCCTGACTTAAAATAAACATCATGATTCTGATCATATTCATGGTTCTAATTCACATGATTCTGTAAGGAATGAAATAGTGAAAAACAAACTTAAAAAAGATGTGTGTGATATAAATTTGTTTAACTACTAAAACTATAATGAGCCATATACAGTTAAACTTTTATATTAAGATCCCTTATGACAGGTGCTCTTCATATAGAGGTTCATTTTGCAAGGTTTGTCTTGGCTTGCTATATTAGCACTGCAAGTAGGGTTGATAGGAGGGGTAATTGTTAAACTAAGTTTCCAGTAAATAATAAGATGACCATTGAGAAACCACTTTTTAATGAACATATTTATAGTTTCTATAAAATAAGCAGTGTAAAAGTTATTTTTTTTTTGCATTTATTTTATATGGACAATGAAAGGAAACCATATAAAAATTGAAGAAAATGATAATTCTAGAAAACTGCTTAAATAAAGGCTCAAATAATGTCGTTTTCAGTAGTGCCATTTTAAATATCAATTGAGTTTTTCTGTTAAACAATATATCTGGCATATCATTTTTTTTTAAGGCACTAATTATCAACTGATCATAAGCTCAACCTTAAGTGAGGTACGAGAAAAACTGCTTGTCACTGAATATAAATTTTTCACATGCAGTTTTAATTACATATCAAAATATTTCATTGCATTTCTGTGTAATTCTTATTTATAAATCAATCTACTGTGAAAGTACTTTATTCATTGGTATCAGTTTTGGTGGTTTGAGCAAAAGTTGCATGTTCGTGGGTTGTTTAATTCATGTATTTTAGTTTTCTGAAAAAAATCAAGTGAAGAATTTAAAGCCATCAGAAACAAAGATTCTTGAAAATAATCATATGTTATTTCATAAGGATTGTGGAACATTGAAAAATAAGGTGTTAATTTTCACTAATTTGTTCGTCTTTCATTACTGACAACATTCATCAAGTTTCTAATAAAATAATTGCTTTCGGAAATAAGCTGATTCATCTATGGTTACAAATTGTCTTGATTTACATGATTAAAGGATATTGCAAAGTAAACATTTTAATTGCTGCAGGCATGTAATCAGAAGTGATGAAACTAATTAAACGAGATCGAATAATTAACAGATTAACCATCATCAAAGGTGTTAATTGGGCCATAAACATGTCATTTAAAGAAAACGGTTACAAAAAAAACCGCTACAAATTTACTTTGAATTATAGAAACTAGAGGCTCTCAAGAGCCTGTGTCGCTCACCTGTATTTACTGATGCTTTGGAAATCATGTAAAATAAGGTTAAAATCATAATTAATAGTATTAGATATTAGATATTATAATGATATCTAAGATAAGAACAAAAAACTGCAAAATTTCTGTAAAATTACTAACTCAGGGGCAGCAACCCAACAACAGGTTGTTGGATTCGTCTGAAAATTTCAGGGCAGTTAAATCTAAATCTGATGAACAATTTTGCCACCTGTCAGATTTGCTCTAAATGCTTTAGTTTCAGAGATATAAACCAAAAACTGCATTTTACCCCTATGTTCTATTTTTAACCATGTCGGACATGATGGTTGGAAGGTGGGGTCATCGGACAAATTTTTTAAACTAGATACCCTAATAATGATTATGGCCAAGTATGGTTAAATTTGTCTCAGTAGTTTCAGAGAAGAAGATTTTTGTAAAAGATTACAAAAATTTACGAAAAATTGTTAAAAATTGACTATCAAGGGCAATAACTCCTAAAGGGGTCGACTGAAAATTTTGGTCATGACGACTTATTTGTAGATCTTACTTTGCTGAACATTATTGCTGTTTACAGTTTATCTTTATCTATAATAATATTCAAGATAATAACCAAAAACTGCAAAATTTCCTTAAAATTACCAATTCAGGGGCAGCAACCCAATAACAAGTTGTCCCATTCATCTCAAAATTTCTAAGCAGATAGATCTTGACCTGATAAGATCTTGACCTGATAAACAATACTACCCCATGTCAGATTTGCTCTAAATGCTTTGGTTTCAGAGATATAAGCCAAAATCTACATTTTACCCCTATGTTCTATTTTTAGCCATGGTGGCCATCTTGGTTGGTAAACCATTATAGGTCAATGTACGGCCTTCAACACGGAGCATTGGCTTACACCGAACAGCAAGCTATAAAGGGCCCAAAAAAATTACTTGTGTAAAACCATTCAAACGGAAAAACCAACGGTCTAATCTATATAAAAACGAGAAACACGTATGAACTACATAAACAGAAAACAACTACTGTAATCAGATTCCTGACTTAGGACAGGTAACAAACATTTGCAGCGGGATTAAACATTTTAATGGTACCAAACCTTCTCCCTTTTCTGAAACAATAGTATAACATCACAACATAGAAAAACACACTATAAAATATCAATTGGAAGGCTTAACTCAATCAAAAAACGTAAATTAACACACAATGAACGAATAAATTTGACCTGTGACACCTGAATGCAAATACACAGTTAATAAAAAATTACAAGGGATAAATAATTAAAGTCAAAAGTAAATAAACAGGTTTAAACAAAGTTAAAGTATGATATCACTGTGAAATTTCAAACAATTTATAGAAAATCATCACTTTTGAAGAAACCTGTGTCATATTATACACAGGTAAATGAAAATAATTTTGTTGTTAAGTATACTTCTTCTTCTGTGTGTATAAAATCTTCCGTTTAGGAATAACAAGAAATTTCTTTAATATCAATAAAACTAATCTAACACTTGGTACATATGGGGTGAATATCAACAATAAAAATATACAATTAGTGCTAGATAAAACTTCCTGTACAGGTCCAAGAACAGCATCTAAGGAAAAATGAAATAATTTTGATGTTCATAGTACGAAGAAGTGAAAATTTGTAGTAATTAAATACCAAATAATCAAAGCTGGTATATAGACAAGATCCATGTTAACATTAAAGAACAAAAAAGCATTACAAATAGTATCAACAGGTCAAATTAAAAAGAAAGTACGATTGGAGAGTACTCGCAGTTACTGACAGCTAGTTAAAAGCCAAAACAATTAATAATAAAAAATAATGCATCAGAGACTAAAATCAACTAAAACACATCCCAGGGATTTAGTATTTTAACATCATGAACAGTCAAAGAAGACATGACTTGTGCAATGCCAAAAATAAATGTATTGACAGGTAATAGGATAGTTAGGAGTGACTTCTTTATAGATAAAAATGAACGTGTGTGTGTCTCTATACATCCCGTTTGAAAAGAAAATACAAATTTAGTTATGTTTTAATTTGCTAATGACAAAATCGGTTAAATTTGGCCCAGTAGTTTCAGAAGAGAAGATCTTGTAAAAGTTAAAGGACGACGGACGACAGACGCCAAGTGATGAGAAAAGCTCACTTGGCCCTTTGGCCCAGGTGAGCTAAAAAAGCAAGCCTAATATGATTTTTTTTAAATTTTCGTATGAGAATTATGAGGAGATAAAATGAACACTTCATCATCACCAGAAGTCTGACTTTCATCAATCAAAACAAATTTTTCATGAAAATTAAAAGGTTAAAAGTCATACAGTTAAGGTTTTTTAAAGATTAAATGGGTAAAATCCTGTCTGAAGTTGTATATATAGTTCATAGTGCGTTTGCTGATATTCGATGTATCAGGTAATCAATCCTACATAGGGGTCTTTCCATGTCTTAATTTCCACTTCTCTATACACTTAAATTCATGGTTAAAGCCATCCAAGAAAACCACGAAAAATTGGTACCCCACGAAAAAAGAACTTTCACAGTATATAAAAGTCTTTGTTTTAGTAGTGAATTTCAAATTTATAAATAATGCTATTTCTTCAATTTTAAAGGGCACCTCTGTGGCAATGTGGTCTAAGTAGTCCAACTACTGAACCACTAGCCTGTCAACACTAAGGTTGTGAGTTCGAATCCCACACATGGCAAATGCATGACTCCAATCTTTATTGACTATATATATAGCTAGGATTGTCAGTTTTCCTACCGAAGGTCTGTGGTTCTTTCCGGGCACTCCAGTTCCCTCCACCAATAAAAACTGACCGCCACAGAATAGCACAATAGTGCTGAAAGTGGCGTTAAACACCAATCAATCAATCAATTTTAAAAGATTTATTTAACATGAAAATTTTTTCCCTACTATTGTGATGGTTATGTCTTGAATGCCAAAGTACATTGTTTTCTTTAACCTCAAATAGACTATAATTACACATACCATATAGAGACTGAATCTGTTCTGCAGATACAAAGTGTGGTGGTCCTGAAAAAAAATTATTCATCAAATCTGCTCACTCTTATATTGATTTCACTTTAAGTGTAAATAAAGTAACATAAACAAGACTACAGTGAATGTTCTTTTTCATGTTAATAGTTATCTCCCCTGATTAAAAAATCTATGAAATATCAAAGTTTCAAATTATTTTCATAAGTTTATTCCCTTTCTTCACTTAACTTATTGGTATTTCTGATAAAGTGGGATATCTTACCTGGCCATAATGCTTCATTATAATCTAAAGTATCCAACAAATACTGACAATCTGGTGCCATCAATGATTTCATCAATGTAGAATATCTGTAAAAATTAAAACAGATGTGAGATACAATATTAAACAAGGAAGGTCGCAGCTATGATTAATTATCTGGAATTATATAGAGAAAAAAAGGATGTATGTGTGGTATATGACAACAAACTACTATCGTCCACGGTACTTTCATGTAGATCTTATACAGAAATTTTAACTGCATTATATTCAGCACCTTGTGTGAGGCAATAGTAGTGAAAATATGGACTTCTTAACAACAGTCATCATACTCTTTGAAAGATGAGAAGCATTTCACATTTAGCTGTTATGAAAATTAGAATTAAATCCATTCCTGAGTTGTTAGTGCAGTTTTATCAGTGTACTATTGTCTGTTTTTTTTTTATGTAGCACAGAATTGTTTTTTTAAACTAGTACTACTTACTTTTGTCTATCATGTCTATTAATCGCCACTAAAGCTCCACGGTCCCAAATCCCATTAAATTGTCCTGCTGTCTCTCTGTAAATACAAAATATATCTATCCATGCAAATTTGTTTTTTAGGATATACTGAGTGAACAATATTTAACAAAATAATTCGAATGAAAAAACTTTAAATTTAAAGTTTCTAAAGTTCAAAATCTGTATAATTGTTGTGGAGTAAAAATTGCACCTTATGGTTCATGTTCGTTGTGTACAATAATTCATCTATTGTTATGTATAGAAATATAGTTCATTTATGAAATATTAACTATAAAACAATAAACTGTTATCACAGAGATATGTCTCGCCTTTTTGTAATTTTGATAATGCAAATGTTGAAATTAAAATAGCTATACTTTAACACGTACATTATGGAAATATTCAAAGTCGATGAGCCATGACTGAAGGTACATGGCTAAACAATCCCCATGGAAATGAGATGTGCCAATGCTAATACAACTGCATACCAAATCCCATTGACTTATTATAAGTCGTTCCCTTTAAACAAACCTAAACACTAACATTAACTTGTAAACTATGTAAAAGTTTCGAAGTCAATGAACCATGATGAGGGGTGGGGCTATATAATCTCCATGGAAACGATACTTGCAAATGCCAATAAGTTTGCATACCAAATATCATTGACTTAACATTAGCAGTTCATCTTAAACTGATCTAATCACAAACTAATACATATAAACTAAGCAATTGTTTCAAAGTCAATAGGACATGACTGGGGAGGTGGGGCCAAATATTCTCAATGGAAATGAGATATGCCAATGCTTATACAACTGCATACCAAATATCATTGACCTACCACTATTGGTTCCCCATAAACTGACCTAATCACAAACTAATACATGTAAACTAAGCAAAGTTTCAAAGTCAATAGACCATGACTGAGGGGGTAGGGTCAAATAATCTCCATGGAAATGAGATGTGCCAATGCTAATACAACTGCATACCAAATATCATTGACCTACCACTTGTGGTTCACCATAAACTAGACCTAATCACAAACTAATACATTGTTGACGCCGCAGACGCCAGAAACAGCATACCTATGTCTCACTTTTCGACTCTGTCAAGGCTAGACAAAAAGTATTTGTTGCTAAACTTTTTTACTCAGTAAATATTTGCACATACTAGTGAATTTGTATGGATATCAATATTAACTTGACATTAAACATTTTTTTAGCATGACACTTTTTTAGTGAAGCATGAACTGAAAATATATGTTGACATTCCAACATTTGCGCAAGAAACATACCCAGGAACTCCAATTAGTTGAATAAGAACTTTAAAATGGTCACTAAATATCATCCTATGTTTTGGGGGTAAAGACTTGTTGGACAATCAGCATGTGGCAATTGTTTATTTACATTTGTTTACATTTACAAGTGATCATCTTAAAGGGCGCTTTTTGATTGGATGCAGCCAGTTACAACTGCGACCAATGAAAATCGTTACCTTATTGATCAGAAATTCTATCTTAATCTGCCATGGGTGGAGAGGAGGGGACTGGATAGTAACCCTTGGCTAGCGAAGATTATCCCATTTATAATTTATCCAAAAGTTCAACAACAAAAATCCTTGCATATATAATTATGAACAATGTAATATGTTTCAAAATTTTTTTTTTTGAGAATGAACTATTTGAAATTCTATTTAATTATTTTAACCAAATGAATTTCAGTATGAAGAATGAACCATACCTTAATAATCATTATCAGTTTTCAGTTATTTCAAACCTGTATAATAATGTTTTTACATAAGTGATATTATTTTCACATGTATATATATATATATATTTAATTATAAGGATATTGGTATCTGATTTAACAGAAACATAAATTGTTAGCTTAAAATTCACATTTTATAAGAAGATACTTACCTACTGAACTTGTAAAAATCACAACAGTATAACAATATATTTTTGTCCTTGCTCTGAAAATATTCAACATAAAAATTTTTCAATGAATAACAATGTAAGATTTTCAACATTGAGATGTAAACACTTTTCATAAGGCAACAATCTAGGCGACCTACACTGAAACTAAAACAAAATATGACAATTTGTATATATAAACTTTAAAAAAGGAAAAAAAACATAAACAAAACAAAACTCATAAAATATATTATTAAATAAGGATGATCAGGATCATCATAAATATGTTATCTTACCTCCTATAGATTTCTGGGGATATGATTGGTAAAAGGACCAGTGTTCTCCCCAGGATTTTTGAATAGCACCAGGGTAACGCGTGAAATATTTCATACAATCAGTTGTGTCTTCGTGTCGCGTCGCTTAGCTCTATTTCTAGTTACTGTAGTTTTTATGTCTCTTGTTTTGTTTGTGTTATGTAGACATTGAGTCAGAAAATTATTGGTAAAAAAGAAGTAAATATTCATCTGAATTTAAAGTAATTAAATCTTTTATAAAATCCAAAATCAATAAAAATAAAATATCATTCAAAAGAGAACAAAAATGTTCAATTTAAAAAACTTTCTAGTTTCTAGAGAGAAAGTTGTTGTATGTGAAAGGATTCCTGTCATAAGAAGATATAAATTTAACAAGAACAATTGCAAATATTGATTTATTATTTGAACCAGTTTCTATCTTAGATTTTAATAAAAAGAAATTTTTCATAAATTTTAGAACATTTTTCCATAGATTTCATGTAAATAATAACCTTTCTTGTCTTTAGTGATAATCAAACATAGATACAGACTTAACACTGCACTGAAATCTAAATCTTTATTTGTCATGAACCATTTAAAAAGAATTCCTAAATCTATAAATTTATCTTTGATCTATAGATCTATAAATAACCATATTCAATGTCAACAACTAAGTCTCCCTATTCTCCCGCCTAAATGACAGGAAGTAGATATAAATAGATTTAACATGTGCTTATGGATAAAATTTGCAAGATTACTTCTGTTATTCATTAATTATGGATATAGATAACCAGTTTGAAGGTACAGTCATGCATTTCATTTATAAAATAGAATAGATTGCAATTAATTGTAAATAAACTTGAATATTCTACGTGAACTAACTGGGTCATGTGATATGTACAGACAGATACTACAGTTTGAAACCCGACTATCATGCAATAACTATGTCATAATTAAAAATAATATTGGCCATGGTTTTATAAGAGACATATAATACTATAATATAAGAATTGAGAAATGTATAATTGTCAATTATACGTAATGAGCCACCTTTATGATGTACAAAAAATGTACCTATCGGGTCAAGACACTGTGTACAAAGTATTTGCCAACTTGTCACAGGTCAGTGCTTGGGTGGTGACTGAAGCCATAAAATAGTTATCTGTGATCATAAAGTTATGAACTCTTAATTAGAATCATGTTACAAGTGTTAATTACATCGATTAAATCCAATCAACAAGGTTAACCTCATAAGGTAAATCGATCACGTGATGTAAACAATCTGTGTTGAACTGGTTTGAACTGGTCAAATTTCACCTGGAATTTTATACCGCACGGAAAAGATTTAACAAGTCGTTTAAAACTTTACCGATTTACGATTTTTTAACTGAAAATTTTAGCACCACGGAGAAAAATTATACATCACGGTAAGAACGATACCACCACGTTAAAAAATTATTCATCGCGGGCCCGCGGTCATTTAAGGGCCTGGGGAGAACACTGAGGACTACACGTGGTGACTACATATATTTGATGAAGGGTGTCCTATAAACTATGGGGTTAGTTACCATATGGGGTTAGTAAGGAGTTACTTCCCTTTCAAAACAAAAAAAGAAAACTGAAAGGTTTCAACAGACAAAGAAATTGATAATGAACGATTGAAATAAATTCATAAAACAAATTTAAAGCTAACAAGTTGTTATTGTTGGCATTTGTTTTTTGTATAAAACAAATTTAAAGCTAACAAGTTGTTATTGTTGGCATTTGTTTTTTGTATAAAACAAATTTAAAGCTAACAAGTTGTTATTGTTGGCATTTGTTTTTTGTATAAAACAAATTTAAAGCTAACAAGTTGTTATTGTTGGGTTGGCATTTGTTTTTTGTATAGACAAATAGAAGTAGGTTCTTAATAATAAGTATTGAAGACTTAATCACTTTGACAGGCCGCTAGTCTAAATACCACATGTGAAGATAGTCGGTAAGATAAATTCGTTACACAGTGTGCTAGTGACCTAATACGATATATATGGGGTCAGTAAATTCCATATCAGCTGAGAGCCAATTTACTGGCCCCATATATATCGTATTAGGTCACTAACACACCATGTAACTAATACTATAAACCATTGATTCATTCATTTTTCTGTATGACATTTTTTTTGGGGGGGGGGGGATTATAGAAGATGTGTATGTATAATGTACCTGTATACTTCCTTGCATACACTATGCATTTTCATGTATATTTCAAATTACAATCATTTAATCTAATTTATGAAATAGCAAAATACTGACTTTTTAAAATCTTGACCACAAGAACTGTTACTTTTCTACAGTTTTCAAGTCACCAGTTATCTTCACTATGCTGATGTTTGTTATGTGCAGTTGCAAAATAGGCAGATCAAGTATGCAGTTCAATCTGATTGACCTGTTTATGACAGACTTTAAGGTATTGATTGCATGACTGAAAGATTAGGGAGCATGTATATCAAACCCACATTAAAACTTAAAATGGCCTACAGTGTACACTTTTCCTGAAAGGGTCTCAACTGGTTCAACTGTGTGTTCAAGGGAATGTTCCTCAAAGAATTCTTGAAAAGCAATTTCTGAGCAATCAACCCCAACAACTGTATGGCCTTGATCTGCTAACCTGTAACAATAAAATTGAGCAATTATGTTACAAATATCCCTGCTTTAGATTCAGTGTACATACATCTACTGTATGAAAGAACCAGGTTAGACACACTTCACACTTAAATAAGCAGGGTTTTTGTTATAAAATAAATAAATGAGATTGGGTGATTATCTCTCATATCTAAATGCTCCTTGAATTCATGAATATACATGTTACCTTGTAACCTTTATAAAACTATTTTTCTGTTTAATGTCAAAATTATTATTAATAAGTAAATATTTGCTTTAATAGATCATTAAAGAATTATAACAACCTAGAATGCAATGCATTAGAAACCTGCTGCCTTGTCTTTATAATTAAATCTATTTTGAAAGAAATAATGAGGTATGAAGATAGGCAGATGATGATTAAAATTTTATTGAATATTATCTAATAATTTTAAAAAATCATCAAGAATGCCATTTTCACAGTCGATTAAACAAATAGATCTCAGTAACAAGTCAACACAATTCACCATTTCATATCCAATGATTTGCCACACAAAGGGATAAAAATCTTTAAATTTTCTCTGTTGTTGATCAGTCTGTTTACATGTTTTTCAAGCATCCTATAATTGAAATAAAGTATGTGATGTTAATAATGCATTCTAGTCTAAAAACTTTAAAGCTATAATTCTTCAGTAGAATATATGCCACTTATAATCAAAACTATCATTATACTCTTTGCTGACATTTTAATAACAAGAAAAAGATTGGTGTGTAAAGATGATGAACCAGGGTTATGTCAAAGAATGTCTCGTTCTATTTCTAAAAAAGTTCATCGGAAGATCCCAAGATCTTGTTGATAAATATTCCGTATCAACTTCACATATAATACAAGATGGTCTTGAAGTACAGATTCTAGGTATTGACTTGCTTATCATCTTAATTACATCTTATCATGTTCTTTTTTTTTGTCTTTGTATATTTTAACCTTTACTGTTTAGTCCATTTTTGGTAATATCCTTTTGGTATGGCAGGGTTTTTATACATCCCGCCATTGTGTTATTATGCTATGGTAATTTTTTTGTATTCTTGTCTTACATTTTTGCTTATGAGCCTTGTCTGTAGTGTCTATAAGCCATTTTGTTTTTCTTTATTTACATAGATGTTTGTTTTTATAGTGATTTAACTTAATGTTGACTGCTTTACCCCAACTTGTGACATTTTTACCTATTATGTTGGTTTGTTTTGCTCACACATTATTGTCAATATAATGGAATTCTATGCGACTGTCATACAAGTGAAAGGTTTAGCTAGCTATAAAACCAGGTTTAATCCACCATTTTCTACATAAGGAAATGCCTGTACCAAGTCAGGAATATGACAGTTGTTTTCCATTCATTAGATGTGTTTGAGCTTTTGATTTTGCCATTTGATGAGGGACTTTCCGTTTTGAATTTTCCTTGGAGTTTGGTATTTTTGTTATTTTACTTTTTATGATACATTTGCACAAAGGGAATTGATTCCATGAAACCATTTTACCTTGAACCTTGGGGTAATCAGTTGATGACTTTTAAGCTTGTCACTTTTATACCAAGGTTGCTGAGCAGAACTGAACATTTTGTGCCTTTACCAAGTTAGGCTATCTTAACCATGTGTTGTTTGCTGTTACTTGTATATCTGGGTTTTTTTTCTTTGATGGAGCCCCTTGTTGGTGGTTGATGTGGTCTGTTGTAAAGTGTTGTGGTTTGGTGACTCCTCTTAGCCCTTATGTAAAATGACTGGAAAATGTTTGTGTCGTTTATTTATGGTAAAATGTCCAAGGTCTAAAATTATTTGTTTATGTTCAACATGTCATTGCATTGTTTATTAAATTAATATTGTAATCATTGTGATGTCAAGAAATCTTCAAGGAATTTTAGCGTAGCTATTTCTTTAGAATTTTTCCAAAATAATCAAGTACTTTGTGAAGATTCAAAGTCACATCCAATTTAATCAAATGAACATCTTGAATAGGAAGTTAAAGTAAACAACAGAAAAGTAAGAGCAACTTCAACTTACACATGCATACATGTATATATGATACAGGCCTATGAACTGTTGACTATAGCTAACTGTGGCATGCTCATGGTTTTCTCCAGTCATCTCAAGCAGTGTTCTCCACAGGATTTTTTGATAGTGCTGTGGTAAGCTTGTAATTTTTGACTATTTTCAGTTACTTTGTCGCAGCACGCTGTTTGTTTGTAATGTATTTTTTGCCAAGTATTATTTCTTTCATTGTTGTGAGTAGCCATTGAGTTCAAAGTTTCTTTCTTTTTGTCCTTCTATAGATTTTCAGAAAAGCTTTTCATGCATTACAAATAAACAAATAGTGCTAAACTAGTTGAAAAGAGCTTGAGGTAGCTCATTTTACTTCAGTGATTTTAAAAGGTTTTGTATAACTTGTTTTAAAAAAAAACCTTACACATTAATATGGTCCTTGTGAAAACCAATATTCCTGTTTTTCCATCTTTCATTCCACCCATCTGCATCTAATACAGTGAATTTGTTAGAAGCATCTGAAGTTTTCTGATTTTCTGTCTTGTCTTGCCTGAATAAAAAAAAATGTTATAAATATAGTTATAAATATAATAAGTTTCATGTTTAACATTCCTTATAATATTAAACATCAAATAAAGGGCATCAAACATCATCATCATTTCTTCTTCAGGTAAGAATTGGGTTTTAAAAATATTAAAACTCTGTTAGACAAATTATAATCTGATGAGAAAAGCCAACACTGGTATTTTGCCAGTGAACTAAAAAGTAACTTTTTAGGTAAATTTTGTTCTGTTTAGGAGTGCATATGGATAGACATCCTGCAAATAAAAAAGTAATCCTTTTGAGTAAAATAAAGCCTGTGTTACAGGTGTTTAGATCTATTTGATCAAATAAATCACATACGCTTGTGGACAAGGATTTAGGTATTATTTTTTTTTTCCATTGCTTGCACTGAATATTCCATTTTCTATTCTTATACCATATATTACAATCTCATTAAAATCCGATGTTATGATCTGCTACACTCCGTGGAGAGTATCGTAGCAAAAACTAACAGCTGATTTTAATGAGATTGCATCATATGTGTAACAAAGTTACATCATTCCCAGCATTTACAAAAGAGATTGTGGTTTACAATGTCCTGTTGTGTATTCCCTTAACAGTGTGTTTTAATCTAAATTATTGTTTCATGTTAAAAAAAATGCTGATTTGTAAATGGCATACATGTACCTCACTTAATTTAATGGTGCAAAGGCCAATCCTAACAAAGAGGGATACATGAGGGTCTGGATGGGGTTTATAAAATAGAAAATAATAGCCGTAAAAACAAATGAATAAAGAAAAATAAGCAAAAAAAATAATAAAGAATGGGGTGCGAAAGTTAAAGAATACTAGAAAGAACTTGCGCGAGCGCGGGTTGAAGACTACTTGAAATGTTTATGGTGATACACAGCTTGGGTTCGTGTTTCTCAAACTGTTTTTATGCACTGGTGCATTATGTTGAGAGTTTTGATTAGTTTGTCCAGTTCTTCTTCCATGGAGTTTGAGTGTCTAATTAGTAGCTTCTGTCTCGGTTTTACACAGGTGCTCCTAGAACGGAGGAAATAACTCAGAGAAGAAGAAGACAACCTAGAACACTGATGATTAAAACATTTATCAGTGGTGCTAGTTGGTAGTATTTCTTTTTTTTCGAAAGGTGCAAGTCAAGTTCTGTCACTGTGTGATACGGGTGCTCCAAGAACGGTGGAAATAACTAATAGAAGACAATTTAGAACTCTCTGATGACTTAAAACATTTCTTCAGTGGTGCAAGTTTGTAGTATTTTTTTTTTTTTCGAGTGGTGCAAGTTCTGTCTCTGTGCTCCGAGAAAGGAGGAAATTACTAAGAGAAGAAGAAAACAATCTAATGATTAAACACATTTCTTCGAGTTTTGTTATATTTCTTTTCTTTTTTTTTTTGATTGAGGCAAGTTGTAATAATTAGTGAGAGTGTTTGAGTTGGGCGAGTTGGCCGTGGGCGGAGTTGTCATAAATTCAAGACAAATAGAATACTCTGGCCTTTGTTAGTCTTGTATCATTTTTAATTTTAGTTTCTTGTGTATAATTTGGAGTTTAGTATGACATCCATTATCACTGAACTAGTATACATATTTGTTTAGGGGCCAGCTGAAGGACGCCTCTGGGTGCAGGAGTTTCTCGCTGCATTGAAGACCCATTGGTGACCTTCGGCTGTTGTCTGCTCTATGGTCGGGTTGTTGTCTCTTTGACACATTCCCCATTTCCATTCTCAATTTTATATAAAACCATTTCCGCCTGCTTACAAAACGTAGACAGTAAAGAACCAGCTACAGAACTTTATTTGGGGTTTAATTAATTAAGCTATGCTAATTAAAATTATTATATAATACTTCAAACGATCGTCCGCTCGGAGACAAACCAGCTAAAAAATTTTGGTCTCTAAATTTAATAGTATAGATTTGTGGAAAATAAAATAATTAGGTAATATAATACTGATAACAGAAATGAATGATATACCAAATAAAGAAATCATCTAATTACAGTAAAATGTAATAGTAAAATCATTTTCAAGAGAATTTTACATCTAATAAGCGTTTGTTTTAAAGATAAGGAAAAAAGCACTAAAAATTTATAGAATACAGAAACTAAGGATCCCCCATCCAGACCCTCATACATTATCAAATAATTTTACAAAAATAAACTTCAAAGAAGCATGTGTTTGACAAATACAAGCAATGTGTACAACATGTTCATAAAGATTGTTTATGTTGTATCTGCAATAATACAGTTATTTGTGGAATCTTGAATAATATAGTTTAGGAACAATGTCACCAGAGACATATTGATGTGGACCAGAAGTTATCCTTCTTTGTGCATTGTATACCATTTGGATTGACTCTCTCCATTTCATCATTAATCAATTATTGTTTGTTATATGTATTAAAAAGCATAATTATACTGGATTGTCTGTATCCAGAGAAGGGACAACTGCACACGGCATGCAGATTTGACTTATATCATTGATCAGTCGAAGTGAAGTTGTTTCAAAATTTGTTGACAGAAATTATAAACCTTGACCTATAATGGTTTACTTTTATAAATTGTAACTTGGATGGAGAGTTGTCTCATTGGCACTCATACCACATCTTCTTATATCTATTTGTAGTAATTTACAGTAGTAATGATTATACAATCTACATATACATGTATACTCAACAGACCCCTATCTTCCCACAACATGGTAAAAGAAAAAAAAAATCAAGATTTACTAGACTTGATTGGATCAAACAAAACCAAGTTTTTAAAAATTAAAGAACCTTTGTAAGCATGCTCACATACCCCATGCCCCCACATTGTCACTGGGCAAACAAAATCTCACCAGATTTCTATGTTAAAAGACTCATAACTCCTACAATAATCAACTGATAAAAATTTCTTGTGACTATGCACATCTACATAGTATGTCCTTATCATATACAAAGTTTCATGAAATTCTGTTGTGTGGTTTTAGAGAAGTTGTGATGACAAACTGTTGCAGTAGTATACTTAGGCCAAAATTCTAAGTTCAAAAGGGCTCATCTCCTAGAAATAAAATTGAATCATATTTTCCTGTCGATATGCACATCTACATAGTACACATGTATGTCCTTATCATCTACAAAGTTTCATGAAATTCTGTTGTGTGGTTTTAGAGGAGTTGCGATGACAATCTGTTGCAGTAGTTTATTTAGGCCAAAATACTAAGTTCAAAGGGGTATAACTCCTAGAAAAAAGTTGAATCATAATTTTCTGTTGATTTGCACATCTTCATAATATGTCCTTAGTATCTACAAAGTTTCATGAAATTCTCTTGTGCGGCTTCAGTGAATGACTAACGGACAGACAGACAGGTCAAAAACATTATACCCCACAGAACTTTGTTCAGATGGGTATAATAAAATAAGAGTATTTTGATGAAGATAATACTATTAATAGCAGTTTGCCACATTTACACAACATGTCTGTTTCTGCATAAAACGCAAGGTGGCGGTAACTGGTAACTGACAGTAACTTGTCTCTGTTGCAAACAATGAAAAAAAAAAACATTCAAATCCTGTACCAAACTCCCCATGGCATACTATCTAACAATTTGATAAATTCGTACCAATGATACGCCTTTATTAGTGATTGCTGGAGCATTGGGAGTGACTGAACAAACTTTAAAGATGAAAGTTTCTTGACGCTGTTAATCCAACGCAAATTCATTTTTTACGACGAACTTCTTCAGCTTACTTACATTATATCAAGTTTCAATCTGTGCCAAAAAATGAACCTTTGAAAATAACACTTAGATCAATGTCGGATACACAAATATCCGTAAAACGTTATCGCATGTGCTTGACGAATGGATCCCCTTTTTCTAAATATATCATACATGTATGTGTAAAGGGAGTGGTTCTGGCCTAGAGTGTATTGGGCATATTTTAAGGCACTTTAAATCGGTCCTACTAAAAAGCGCCCGGGAGCGCCCGGGAAAAGAAAAAGCGCCCGTGGAAAAGAAAAAAGCGCCCTGGGAAGAAAAAAAGCGCCCGGGAGAATAAAATAATAATATTTTATAACAATAAATGTTTTCCTGAATAAAAAAAAAATAATCATTGCTTGTTTTGTCCTTAATATAAATGGGGATATGTACGATGCTACATCTAAAATGTGTAGATAGTGTTGTTGCACTTTTACATTTTAGATTTCAAAATTGTATATTAAGTAAGTAAGTAAATATAAACAAGAGTATATAGAAGAATCAACATGCAACATGGTCACCCATTCATTAAAGAAATTGTCCAACTCTCGTATTAGCCATTATGTTGCCACGAGGCTTGCATATAGGGCATGGCTTGCATCATAAATAAGAAAAACAAATTATATAAAAAGAAAAAACATGATGGTAAACACCCGTTAAAAAAAATCAAACAAATTAAAACACAATTACAGAAAGAGATGAGAAATGCCTATTGGAAATATATCGAAAACATGATATTCGACATTGAAATACAAGAACCTGAAAATCATGGATTCAACAAACAACCTAAAATACTCTTTTCATACACAAAAGGCCAAAACAATGAAAACACTGGTATTGCACCTCTTAGGTATAAGTTCAAAGTTCAAAGTTCTTTATTTTCCAATTAAGGTCCCCTGACGGGACATAATGACAACAATACACAATACATTCTCATTCATAACACATAAACATATAAATGAAGATAAAATTAAAATTCACATGAAGTAGATGAGATTATCATAGAATATATAATCATATAAAATATCACATCATAAAACAATTGTTTTTATTATTATTTATAAGTTAGTTTCAAAATCTTTCAAAATTTCATATCTTAGATTTAAAACTGCCATGCCAGAGTGCAAATACAAATAATTTAATAATTTCATCATATAGTTTGCTAACAGAGGTCCACCTTGTCTCTTATCCAGAAAAGCAAGTTGAAGGAATAAATAATACAAGTCACTATAATGGAAAAGAGACCAAGGGCAAATGCACTTGGACATGTTAGCAAGTGTGATTTTAGATACCGTCTTAACCTCCTCGTGACTAGTGCACAAAAGTTTTTATCACTTTAATGCAAAAATCACCAAGGGATGATACCAAAAGGTTTAGGTATCTATTTGTCTAAATATAATGATTACTTTTAACAACACACTTTTTATAAAGCATTCAAGGAAGTGGTTACTGCATTCAGCAGTGGCAGCAATCCACAAAATTTATTGAATATTTTTAGATATAATGTTAAAAACTTTTAACTGACCGAAATAAAATCTTCATTGAGATCAAAACATTAACATATAGCTTTAAATCGTATTATCATATATACATATGCATATATATACATATTCAACACTCTAACATAGCAGTAGCAGGTGCAAGTGAAGTCCCAATGCTCCCGAATTAGGATGTTCATGTTTGGCTATAAGGCAACAGATTTTACATAAAATTTCATTATCTTCATTACTCATCATCCAAATAAATTTTTCAGGATTTTGTAATTGGGTAAAATTAGGACATTGCATACTAATAGCATTAATAAGATCACAACGCTCAACTTTATACTTTGTACAAGTCAGTAAAAATGGTTCTCATCTTCTACCTCGCCCTATGAGCAATGAGTACACAATCTATTTTGCCTGATAATACCTTGATATCTTCCTAACTCTATTTGAAGTCTATGAGCTGATATTCTGAATCTGGTGAAAATTCTCCTCTGCCCAAAATCTTTTATAATATTTAAATAATTTTCAAATCCAAAGTTTTGTTTAAACTTGAAGTATGTACGCAGTTTACCATCTGATAATGATGTTTTTTGCTTTTGCCAAAGATTAATATAATGAGTTTTCATATATTTTTTACATGTCTTCTTAAAACTATTTGTTTTCATTGACTTTAAGTCAGTTTGGTTGTCAAAAATTAGTTTTTTCTGTATATTCACAGAGCCATACCAAGAAGGATGTTTATTTTCGTACAACTCTATGGAAGTTAAATAGGCATCTTTTAAAATAGGAAATTGATTATCTAAATTTTCTAAGCGGTGCCAATATTTAAGCATTGCAGTGACAACATTAAAATGTGTGGGTAATCTGCCAAGCTCTGACAAGGAGGCAAAGTTTGAACTCTTTTTCTCACAACCCAAAACAAATTTACATAATTTAACATGCAAATCTTCGCATTTAAGTCTTTTATAAATTTCATCAAACGATAAATCAGGGTTTTTTTCAATCTTGTCGTAAAGGGATTAAAGTAACCCCAAATTTCACAACCGTATAATAATATTGGCATAATTGTGTGATCGAATACATGTAATGAGATTTTGGGTGAAGGACAATGAGAAATAAATATATATATCTAGCCATTCAATTGCATTTCCAAGATCGTATTTTAGCATGATTGTTTTTACTTCAATAAACCAGCGGTTACTATTCATTGACTTGATGCATACTTGCCTCCTTGCTAGTTGTTTTTCTAAGCTTTCGTTGGATTGGGTACATACATCTATGTAGAGGGTCATAACCTTTATGTGTATTTGTGCCAGAACTGGTAATATTCCCGTCAAGATGTTGATTGCGGGATCTGGTGTGTTAGTTGGTACTGACATTAGTTGCCTAAGCATTTTCTTTTGAAATTTTTCCTCCAGTTTCTCCAGATTAAGAGATCGTGGTGTTAATAGATCCATTCCATATAATAACACTGGCAAGATGTAGATTTTATACAGGTGTATTATTGTTTACATATCCAGTCCATTTTCACCATGGAGGCCACTGCCAAGTAGAGCATACGCACTTCTCCGTGATTTTTTTATATTCTCCTCAATATTTGCAATAATATTTTGTTTCATAGAGTTGGTTCTGATTATTCCTAAATGCATAGCTGATTCGACTCTAGGCATAGAAGCTTCACCCATTGTATATTCTTCCAATATTGTTTCATTCCTTGATGGCTTAGGTTTGATGTTTATAGTCACACTTTTTTTTTGGCTGTAGTTTATATCCCTCCATGCCGGCAAAAGTGTTTGCCATGTTGACTTGTACTTTCATATCGGTTGTCCTTTTGCTCATGAGTGCTACGTCATCTGCACGTGCACTAGTATTGCAGAGTATATTCCCAATTCTACATCCTAAACTTGATGTTTCCAGCATGTTAAGTTGTGGATTGATATAAAGCTTGTATAGGTCGGTACTTTGGATCCCACCCTTACTAATTTCAGACAGGTAACCCGTCTTAACCCTGTTAATTTTAGACAGGCAACACGTCTTAACCCTGTTAATTTTAGACAGGCAACACGTCTTTACCTTATTGATTGCTATTCAATTATTATTATTATTCTATTTGAATAAGTTAGCAGTGGTTATTGTTTGTAAAGACCGAAGCGTGTTCCTTTTTGTGTTAGCTTTTGGTATATATCATGTATATGCAGTGGTCATTATTTCTAAAGATCCTGCGAAGCGTCTTCTTGTTTCGGTGTTAGCTGTTGGTATGCTAGCAGTGGTTTTTTGTCGTGCTTGCGACTTGGATAGCAGAAAGCGAGACATATGCATAGAGATAGTGATCCGGGGCTGCGGTGTTAACTAACTACTTAAAAAAGCTTAATATTTCAGAAGGTAGAAGACCTGGATGCTTCATACTTTGTATATAGATGCCTTATGTTATGAAGTTTCCGTCTGTAATATGTCCAATGTCATTGACCCCATTTTCATTGTTCAGTGACAACTTGAAAAAAAAGTTAAGATTTTTGTAATGTTAATTTCTCTCTTATTATTAGTAAATTAAATTAAAAGGAAAACTATATTTGGTATGTGCGTACCTTGCAAGGTCCTCGTGCCTGTCAGACAGTTTTCACTTGACCTCGACCTCATTTCATGGATCAGTGAACAAGGTTAAGTTTTCATGGTTAAGTCCATATCTCAGATACTGTAAGCAATATGTTTACTATATTTGGTATATGGAATAATTGTAAGGTGTACATGTTCAATTGGCAGGTGTCATCTGACCTTGACCTCATTTCCATGGTTCAGTGGTTCAAGTTAAGTTTTTATGCTTTGGTCTGTTTTTTCTAATACTGTATGCAATAGGTCAACAATATTTTGGTTTATGGAAATATTTTCCGATGTACATGCCAGTCTGGCAGGTTTTATTTGACCTTGACCTCATTTTCACCGTTCATTGTTCAATGTTAATTTTTTGTGTTTTGGTCTGTTTTTCTTAAACTATAAGCAATAGATCAACTTCATTTGGTGTATGGAATGATTGTAAGGTGTACATGTCTGTCTGGCAGGTATCATCTGACCTTGACCTCTTTTTCATGGTTCATTGGTCAATGTTAAGTTTTTCTGGTTCAGTTTATTTCTAAGATACTATAAGTAATACGTCAGCTATATTTGATGTATGTAATTGTTTAACGGTGTACATGTCTGTCTGGGAGGTTCATTGACCTCATTTTCATGGTTCATTGGTCAATATAAAGTTTTCATAGTTTGGTCTGTTTCTTGTATACTATAAGCAATAGGTCAACTATATTCGGTGTATGGAATGATTGTAAGGTGTACATGTATTTCTGGCTTAGTTTATCTGACCATGACATCATTTTCTTGGATCATCAACAAAAAAAAGCAATAGTCAATAAAGCAGGCGAGACATTTCAGCATGTGCACTTTTGTTATTTGTAAAGGTCGAAGCTTCTTTCTGTTTCTGTGTTAGCTGTTGGTATATTAGCAGTGGTTATTATTTGTAAAAATCGAAGCGTATTTCTGTTTCTGTGTTAGCTGTT